AATTTCACAGTGGTTGGGTCTAATTTAGGGCGGCAGTGAACAGGACGGTGGTTTGCCCCCAGTACGAGGATGACGTATGACCCACTTGTAAAACAATCCCCGACAATTAGCCAGCCATTACCCACAAAGCCTTAACTATAAATACCTCGTAATGCCTCTGTGCAAGCTTTTTCACCCCGTAATTACAACGTTACTTGGCTGCTGCCCCTCTCCAACCTAACCTAACCTGATCAAAACTACCCTAAGCTAACTGATCTAACCTAAAGTGACCTAACCAGATCTGACCAAACCTAACCTGCCATAACCTAACCAAACCTCATCTAACATCACCTCACCCACCTATGAATACCATGTAATGCCTCCCTAACCAACTACAGACCACCTCCAATAATAATTACAATGTTACTCTGTAATACTTAGGGACTGAGAGCTCTCTAACTAAAAAGAAAAATTTCACCCATTACACAATTACACACACACGATAATTAGTGTAAAACTCTCTCTCTCGTAACACAAAAAATAATTATTGTAACTCTCTCTCTCTCTCTCTCTCTCTCTCTCTCTCTCGTAACACAAAAAATAATTATTGTAACTCTCTCTCTCTCTCTCTTTCTCTCTCAATTAAACATATGGTAAATAGTGTAATAGTGAAAGTCTCTCTCTCAGTGTATCTTGTACCGTTGTTTACTGTTATTGTTTACTGTTGTGTACGACTCCTGTTAAATGTTGTTTATTATTACAGTTTGCGGTTGTCTATTGTTTGTGTTTACTATTGTTTACTGTCTCTGTTGAATATTTACTGTTGTTTACCGTTTCTGCTAAGTATGGTTTATTGCTCCTCTTAGCTGTTGTTTATTGTTTTCTCCTGTACTGTTGGTTAAAAAGTTACTAAAATTGATTAAGGTAATTAATCCATTCACGTGCAGCAAGTACAACACCACCAGGACCAACCAACAGTAACAGGAATGCCACCCATCAGTAAGGAAGGGGGTGTGCGCTTGTTCTGACCAAGTTGCCAGCGATCACCCAAGCCTGTATGTGTATGTGTGCGGTGTTTAGTTAAGGTGCATATCACGTCTCCCCCCCCCTCTCCCTCCCTCCCTCCCACAACGCATAAAGACAGACTTTCCGACACGGAGAAAAACCTGAACTTCAACCTACGGCAATTTTTTATTTATTATATTTTTTTTAATATCTAGAGTGAGTGAGTGAGTGTATGTATCTCCACGTATGCCAGACAGAAGGCCAATCAGATTCGTACTGGTAGTCTGATCTTAGGACACCAGAGGCAGATGCTTACAAGCCACGTCTAAAAAACTTATTTCGTGTTTTTTTTAACGGTACGGACATACACAGCCGAATTCTTAACGGTACGGACATACACACAGCCGACTTCTAAACGGTACGGACATACACACAGCCGAATTCTTAACGGTACGGACATACACACAGCCGAATTCTTAACAGTACGAGTATACACAGCCGAATGCGAACTCCCAAACCCAGGGGTTCTTAACCTGGGGTCCATGGACCCGTATGGGCTTCAGGGGGTCCGTGAAGGTCAGATAAAAATTTAACATTTATATTCACTATACTTTGTGTAAGTCATACACTGTATGAGACAATGAATTTTCAATAAAATAAAGTATATTCATTGCATGCAAAGTTGTGTTTATGTGCTTATGTGCATTTTTCTAGGGAGGGGGTCCATAGCTTTCACCAGATTCTCAAAGGGGTCCGTGACTCAAAAAAGGTTAAGAACCACTGCCCTAACCATTCTTAAAGTACAGACATACATGCATACACACAAACAAACAAAACAGACATAGATATGACTGTTTTATCACCCCTGCGACGGTGCTTTTAACAAACACTAACAACAGGGACCATGACACGTATATACCCCCTCCCCGTGTCAATGGAGAATGGCAGGAAAAGACGCAGTCATCATAAAACTGATATTTGGCCTTCATGTGCATTTTCACGATGTTAAAAATGCAAAAATGAGCAGTGATAATAAAAACGTTTTTCCTCCAGAGATTTGAATAGTGGTGTGTGTGTGTGTGTGTGTGTGTGTTTATGTCGTACAGTGATGGCGGGTCTTCATGCTACTCTCCCGTCTCCCCCCCCCCCACCACATAAATTCCTCATCGCACATTACTTACGGTTTGTGTCGCAGAAGACCAACCCAGTTTCCTCTATAAAGCCTAACACTGCGCTATGTAAAGGTAATAAAACGAAGATAATACCGTGCCAGTTACTGTGAGAGAGAGAGAGAGAGAGAGAGAGATAACCTTTACTGCACCGACGAAAATGACCTTCAACTATCAAACTAATGCATCAGTGAACTAACACATCTCAGCACTCTACGCCCATGCATGCCTCATACTCATCCCAGGTATGTACTGTAAGGCATGGCGGCATTCCCAGAGAGACGCAGGATTCAATCCCCAAAGGATTCTAACCAAGCTACATCCTACAATCAACAAGGAAGTGTAAATACAGGATATGACTTTAGACACACCAAATATCCTTCGTAATTCTGGTGATTTCTTATTGGCTGTCATATCCTTGTTTTCAATACTGTATATGGTTTCTTTCTTTCTTTTTTGTTTGTTTGTTTGTTTGTTTACTTTATGACTACATTGTTTGGTATTCATTTATTTTGATGGTGCTTGACCTGTCGGATGCCCTGAAAATTTGCCCAACTATAATAGTTTATTTAGCTAGTTGATTAAACACCATAACACTACTCCCGGGGGGGGGGTTAGGTTAGGTTTGATTAGGGTGGTCACACACACACACACACACACACACACACACACACACTGTATGAATCATGTGGTAAGGACGTCATAGGAGTACCGTATATACACCCCACACCCCAACAACAGGTCCAGGGGGGAGGCACCGACCGCCGGCATCCCTCAATACTTCATGGGTATTCCCACCCACCTGGGAGCCTGGCGGACAAGTTCAACAAACTCACCTGAAGGGCAAGAGGTCATAACAAGTCATCATAAAGGTACAGTCGGTCAAGTGGGATAAAAGTCCACTCATCCTGGGTTCGAACCTCCACCGAAGAGGTTATTTGAATGTGTGTGTGTGTGTGTATCACACCATTAATAAAAATAAACATGGACCAAATATTCAGGCCATAAACGTGACCACCCAGCACAAGAAACTCAACATGTCTGCATTATCTGACGGGCCACAGTCCAGATTAACCAAAATACTATGACAGACATCATGCAAAAGTATCACAATATTGTGCTTTGTTTCAACGCAATCATGGGGAGGTCGGAGGGACCCCACACGCATGACCTGCTACTTATGTCATGTCCAAGGATCATCATTATCACCACAATACCTCACCTGTCTCACATACCACACCAACCACCATCACCACCTTCACCTACAAGTCTGTAAGCGATGGTAACAAAAGTCAGGTCACGGAGGCTAAAAGGGTGTCAACATCTGTGTATCCACTATTAACTACCAGTACTCTGTCTGTGTGTGTGTGTGCGATTTCATGTGAATATGCATAGACAAATTTATATCGTTGTGTGTGTGGACAGGAATATAACCCAATTAGAGCAGGTTTATGAAAAATAATATAAACCTGAAGATGAAACAGCAGTTCTGTACTTGGCAGTGACCTTCAGCTGAACGCAGCCGCAGGAGTGGTGCTCAGGTGAACGTGAAGACATGCCAGTTTTTGTGATGCTAACCGAGGTGGACAATCGAACCTTAACCCAACCTGCTGAGAGGTCAACCATGCAGGGATCACTATACAGTAGGTCAACCATACAGGGATCACTGTAGGTCAACCATACAGGGATCACTATAGGTCAACCATACAGGGATCACTACAGGTCAACCATACAGGGATCACTATAGGTCAACTATACAGGGATCACTATAGGTCAACCATATAGGGATCACTATAGGTCAACCATACAGGGATCACTATAGGTCAACCATACAGGGAGGTCAGGATGCAGGGATCACTCATGCAGGGATCACTAGGTCAACCATACAGGGATCACTGTAGGTCAACCATACAGGGATCACTATAGGTCAACCATACAGGGATCACTACAGGTCAACCATACAGGGATCACTATAGGTCAACTATACAGGGATCACTATAGGTCAACCATATAGGGATCACTATAGGTCAACCATACAGGGATCACTATAGGTCAACCATACAGGGATCACTATAGGTCAACCACACAGGGATCACTATAGGTCAACCACACAGGGATCACTATAGGTCAACCACACAGGGATCACTATAGGTCAACCACACAGGGGGTCAGTATATCACGATAGGCCTCCCTCCACCTCCATCGTGCCCACCCTCCCACGCCACAACCTTCCCTGACTAACCATCCTCCCCCCTAGTGACAGTCCTGGCACTTGACATTATTAGGGATCTACCACGCTTTACCTAGCATCCCACTCTCCCTAGATTCCTCACTCGCTTCCACATGTCATACCTTCCCACTCCCCCTCTCTTCCACATGGCATACCTCCCCACTCTTTCCCTCTTTTCCACATGGCATACCTCCCCACTCTCCCCCTCTCTTCCACATGGCAAACCTCCCCACTCTCTCCCTCTCTTCCACATGGCATACCTCCCCACTCTCCCTCTCTTCCACATGGCATACCTACCCACTCTCTCCCTCTCTTCCACATGTCATACCTCCCCACTCTCCCTCCCTCCCCACTCTCCCTCTCTTTGACATGCCACATCTCTTCACTCTCCCTCCTTTCCACATTTCACTCCTCTCCACCCTCCCTCCCTCTCTTTCACATGCCATTTCTACTTCCCTTCCCACCTTTCACTTATAATCACACCTGTTATTGTACTTCCTTGTCCCCGCTGACTCTTCCCTGGACCAACAAAGCAGTGGTGGTCTGGGCAACTTGAGAATTACAAGTTAGACCAGAAACCTGTTTTTCCCGAGGTATTAAAAGCCAGAGACCCGGTAGATGACCTCAGAATCCACCACTGCCTGCTGCCCTGTGAGTCACTCTCCCCTTTGCACTGTGAAATTTTACCTGTTTCCCTGGAAAAGAGCTTCCCCACTACCCTGAGAGAGACTCTCCCTGCTGCCCCATGAGAGATAATCTCCCTCAACATAATGCAGGTAAAGTGCTTTATATTGCATAGTCATCATCATCATCCCCGTTTTACAGTCATTTTCCACATATGTGTAGGTTAGCCATGATTACCTGATAACAGCTCTCAATACTGCACAGTCTCTTGCAACCTCTTTCATCAGGTTCTTAACTCTGAGGTAATTTCTTACAACCTCTCTCCATGTCATTCTTGCCCTACCCTTGGTTCTCCTCTCCACGTTTAAACTCGTGCATCTCGTGATCCAGTTGGTCATCTCTATTCACTCCACATACCCAAACCATCTCAGCCTACTTCTATGCAACACCTCGCCAACACCCAGCTCCCCTCTTAGTGCTGATTAGGGATTTTTATCTCTCTGTGTCATATCACATACTGTATCAATCTCGTCAGTCTCATTTTAGCTCACTGTAGCCTGCTTATATCATCCACTTTAACTGCTTATGTTTCACTGCCATACAACATCACACTTCCCATGCCAGTTACATACACCCAGGTGACCATAAGTGTCATTGGCTGGGTAGATGTACTCTTGAAGCAATTCAAAGAATATTCCTACATCTCGATCACAAAATTTGTTCTTAAAAAAGGAAAACTACAAATAAAGGTTCCCATCAAAGGGGAGGGGGTTGCTAGACCATAACAGTAAATGCATGCACACACTTTGCCTGTCACCTTAGATATGGATTTAATCTGTATTTTCTATCCTATTTCTAGGAAGCAAACCAAACTGCTTGGCTGTAGGTGCAGTTATATAATGGGATCTTAGAATGTGTCTCCTGATACTCTCTGCCAAGTGGCACGTTAATACATGAAGCCAGCCATAAAATTAAATGTGGTTCTCACCTAATACTCCAACTGCTAATGGGGCATGCACCTCACTTGGGGAGTTACCCCAACTATTTTACATTCAGAAGAGTAGTTCAAAGCAAGACTAAACTTTGGAAATCATTTATGTCACAAAGCTGTGTAGCATTGTGCTGAATACCAGGGAAGCAGAGAAAGAGTTGAAACTGATGTCTGCTGCATCTTATATCAAAACTAGAGTATACATTTTGAAAATACTCCTCGATGGACGGTTCTTGAAGCAGAACTAGTAAAGATTTTTTGCCAATAATCTAAAAGTAAAACAGAAACACCTAAGGAAACTCCATGCTCAATTTGGCCACTTCTATCCTAAGGGCTGACATGATCAAAATCCACCTACAGTATTACAGGTAAAGTCAGGGACAAAAAGTTTGCTTCCCGTAGTAAAACTGAGTCAGGGAATGAGTCTCCGAACTGACTTACCCTGACTGTTTCAACTCATTTGGGGTTAATGCTGCTTCATTTTGGGTGGGAGCGAACTTTCGACCCCAACTGTACTGTATCATATTTTACTTGTAAAAATACTTGGCTTATGATATTTAATTTACAATCTATATTACCCTATTATGCTTACTGTTAGTGTCCCTCTTTTTTTTTTCTCAGTAAAGCTACAGGTATATAATAAATACATTATTTACAATACAGTACTTATGACTACACATGTGCATTTTCTTTTTAGAATTTCTGGTTCCTTTTCTAAAATACATTAATTGTTTTTGCACTGAAATTACAGAAAGCATACTTTGAGCCACCCAAAGTTTCCCATTTTCGTGAAATGATTTCCCTCCAATTTTAGCGCAAGAATATCCAATCACTTAGATGCTTACAAACACATTACACTACAGGTATTATTATTCACATTATTATCACTATACTGTACAGTATTACATGAATCACTCCCACATATAACTAATGTACTACCATAATCACCTCCGACATATTACCACCATACAGTGGTAATGAATGTACTGTATCTCCCACCAATGTTATGGGATTTGTCTCGACCCTGGAAAAAATGCGTAAGGGAGGACCCTTATGCGTTTTTTTACCCAAATATGATTTTCTCTCAGACTTGAAATTCGGTGAGATTAATTTCAGTAATTAAGTACATCCAGAAGAACACAAAAACACCAATAGTTGGCGAGTACTGAAATAAGCATTGAGAAAAATTTCATTAAAATATTCCAAGCATCATTACGACCACTATTTATTCCACAATCGAACTGTCGATGATAGATTTGGAATCGGCATTCTCAGGAGTACCTATACTGTGATTTTGAACAAAATCGCGTATATTGCGTTTGGTCCATATATCTGTGAGAAGGATGTTAGCCAGTGTGACCCTCACTACCAAACATCACAAGTTTCCTCCGGGTACAGTACAGTACTCCAATTTCCTCCTGCACTAACACTGGAGAGACCAACTACCCAAACAGCTTATAAGCTTATAATTGGTAATTATGAATAAAAAAAAAAAAATCCTCACCCCTCTTACCACAACAATAATCATACTACCTGTACACACCACCACCAAAGTTACCCTCCCCCTTCCCACACCACCACCAAAGTTACCCTCCCCCCTCCCACACCACCTCAATACTCACCCCAACAGGGGCAGATGGAGGGAATATCAAAGGGGGGTCCAAGAAGTTGTGAGTGGGGGAACATGGCAAGCACAGCGAGGCCACCCAGCTGTTTTTTTTCCTGGCTGTATGCCCCCAGATTTTTTTTTTTTTTAATCTGACCAATATCATGGGTATTTTGTGGCCATGCGCACTTGATATTAGGAAATATTCTGAGGTCAATAGTAATTACTTTTTACTATACAAAAATGCCTGTGAACAATACTGTATTAAAGAAAAAAATATTAAAATTTTCTGATGAAAAGGGGGGACCAGACCCCCAAGACCCCTCCCCCTGGATCCAGCCCTGCCCAACACACAAGAAACAAAAAATACATATTGTACATGTAGTGGAAATAAGACTAGTGAAATAACAGTTTTTGTGATACACACAATATACAATCATGACACACACACTGAGACATCCACACCAAAATCAACAGGTATATTTAAACAAAGAATAAACACACATAAACCTCAGTAGCATTTAGCAGAGAGAACTAAACAATATTCTTCTTCAGATGTGTCAGCTGGCAGTGGCAGTGATGGTGGTGGTGATGGCAACAGTGTCGTTGGCTGGACCCCTTGCTGACAAGTCAGAGTCACATGTTGAAACCCCATCAGGTACAATTATATTTATTACCTTATTCTCACTCTATTTAGCTCACTACAGTTGACGATGAATAATGTACAGTTCCGTTTAGAAGGGTGCATAGCCTATCGCACTCTTCCTGGACGTCAGGTCACTACATCGACCCTCCCAATGCACAGAGTCTAACTGACAACGGAAAAGTTTGATTTGAACGAAGACTCATCCCCAAAAAATAGGAAGGATATTAATATGAAGATCAGCCAACTTTAATATACAGTACAGTGGTCCCTCGGTTAACGAGCACAATTCGTTCTAGAAGGTTGCTCGTTAACCGAAAAATTCGTTAACCAAAACCATTGCTTCAATGGGTTTTTGGGTAATTGGTTCCAGATCACCGAAAATTGTCTAAAGTCAACAAAAAAGGTAGTAAAGTACACTTACTTTAAGGTTTGTATGTAGAAGGCTCCTGGATGATGATGATGGGAATTAGAATGGGGGTGGAGGAGAAGGGAGAAGAGAAGGCATTGGGGTGGAAGAGAAGTCATCCCATGGTGCCATTTCACCCATAAAATTTGAGTTCACTTGGTGTAATTCAAGATTATTTTCTTTAAATCAACACTGCACTGCATTATATATTGTCAATATGTAAAATATATTTCAAAATGACCAATAATTTGACTGGAAACACAGAAAAAAGCATTTATGTTGAAGAGAGTCTGAAGCAAGATGTTACCTCCACTGAAAAGACACAGAGACTGACGCCTGTATGGTGTGTTGACAGGCTGTTTGGCGCACTAAAAACTAGTTTCCTTGTATACTTAAATTATGTTAAATAATTGTTAAAATGACTAAAAATTTTAATATAAGACTTTTAAAATTATTGAATAGTACAAACTTCTTGATATTTACTAAAATAGTAAGGAATTTAAGCCCTAGAACCGATTACTGTATTGGTGGACTAATACCACAGCTAGTGTGCAAGCGAAAACATGTTGGGGGCCGCTCGTAAGGAATTCGCTAATCGAGAGAATGCTCGTTAACCGAAGTTAAGAATCTTATGGAAGGTAATTCGTTCACCGAAATTTCATTAACCGAGGCGCTAGTTAACCGAGGGATCACTGTACTGATTATGAGAAGAGGGAAACCATAATGATAGGAATATCCATTCCAATATCAGAATACAAGCTGCGGCTACCCTGCACAGCTTGAAATGTTACTGTAGGCTACCATAATTTTTCTTTGTGAATAAGCGAGATATGATATGAGAATATCGAATAGGGGTATTAAAATGTCTATTGCAGATAAGCAGGAATGCAAATAGTAAGGTATTCCTGTACAATGATGTCCCTCTCCTTATCGTTTTTATGCAAATACTGTATCAGGGGTATTACCTGGGCAACAGAGGATTACCCCTGGGTCCACCCTTGTCTGAGTTACAGTATTAACACTAAAAGCACTTTCTTACTCTTGTTTTGTGCTTTCTTTGTGACAGGTATTACGATCCTCAAGAACTTCAAACCAGCGGGTGGACTTCCCACAACATTACAGCAAAGGTCATCATTGAAGGTGCCAAAAGACTCCACCTTAGTGGGTGAAATCTCTTTGACACCACGGCCGAGTACACCAGAAAACGCGCCAATAAATTCCCAGTTGGTTGGTCCAATTTCTTCACAACAACAAGCAACAAATATAAAAGTACCTGCAAACTCCCACCAAGTCACCAATGTTCCTCGAATGAAGATTGAAACTTGCTCGATAGAGGGAGTCTTCGGTATTCCCAATGACTGCCAACACTTTTATATGTGAGTACAATACAGGTACTGTACTTCAAACAATGATGTGTGATGCTGAGTTTTATAAGGTGACAGGCAAATCAGGGCCTTGTTGTGAAAGGGAGCTACCATACCAGAACTCTTCTGCCATGGCAATTGGAGAGAATGATTTAAAGTAAATGATGTAAAAGTTTGTATTTCCACTTAATTCTGGACATCCTGCTCAAAAGTCACACTCTGCAAAGGTGGGTTGGTGATAGGAAGGGCAACCAGCTGTAAAACTTGCCTCAAATTTGCCTTATGGCAACTGACATACCATGCCATTAGGTAATCACAGCTAACCCATGCAAGCATGGAAAATAGCCATAAACAGCAATGACAATGAGTATTTCCAGCCCTTTCCTATTATGAGATGTTCAGAATCAAGAACGCACACGCACGCACACACAGTTGTTTTGGGTGTGATAGTTTAATGCGTATGCTCCGCAGTTGCAATTGGCTTCTTAATGGGGAAAAAACAAGAGGTTTATGTTCATCAGATTGTCCAATACTACTACCTTTTTACACTCAATATGTAAAAAAAGGTCACACATGGTCGCCTGTAATTAAGCAAGTTACTCAAGTTTTATCACTGTAAAGATCTACAAACATTATTCACTGTATCTATTATTGCAGCATAACGTACATAAAGGCCTTCGCAATTGCTGCAGTGGGGGCTTTAAAGGGACCTTGGCACTAAAGTCCTGCAACCAAGACACATAAGAAATTATCACAGTAATAATACAGATTATTATCATTATTATTAAGCAGACAATTAAGATTATATCACATTGTAAACTGGGCTTAAGCCTAAGAAGATTTTTACAGTCTGCACATCCCCCCTCCCCAAACAGTGACAACTGTCAAGCACCGGTGTCCCACAGGTGTAAAGTACGTAAGAGGAGAGGAAAGTTTGTGATAAGGCATGAATAGGCACAGGGAATCAGGGGCTAAAACCCCAGCATCACCAGGAAGTTGGCTGATATGCAATTACTGCAGGATGAAGTCTGATGTACATTATGCGAGTCTAGGTTTAACAGCATTTAGGATGGTGGTGAATGTGGTAAAGCATGAACGCTGTTCTTGGTATTGCCCTAACTGCAAAATCAAAGTAAACTCGATGTTTGAAGATCACAGGGGAATGAGATACCTAGAGACAAAAATAGAGGAAGTTAAATCCGTGTTGGTTGCCAAGCTGGAGCAACCGCCCAAGTGGCTAACGAGCAGATCAGTGGCGGAGAGGATAAAATTAAAAAGTAAAGGCAACAAAGTGGTTGGAGGGCCACAATGCCCAATGAATTTCTCAGCTCTCAACCCTCATTTGTGATTGTTTCACAATTACGTGGGTTCATGCAGTTGTTTTGGTTGTGATAATTTATGCGTATGCTCCGCAGTTGCAATTGCAGTTCCACAGCTTCGTGACATCACTATCCCCTTCATTACTGGTTAGATCACATGTTCCATTGTGGTAGCAGTAGAGGCAATATAAAGCTAGCACTTTAACCTCAATATCAAGAGAAAAATCTAAAACTAATTCCAGTATTGGCATTACACTCATAATCTAATTTATAATAATAATAATAATAATAATAATAATAATAATAATAATAATAATATTTATAATAATAATAATAACACTGTAATAATATTGTATTTATAATAATGATAGTGATTCTCACTTGTAAAGTTGTGGAGAAAGATACAGTGCGCATGGTGAGACAACACTCCATTTTGTGTTTCATGTCTGTACTGTACTCTCCATTATGTTGCAGGTGTAAGAAGAACGAATTACCTACAGATAGTGTTCCATATTACAATACATACCTATACAGGTGTGATACTGGCCTCAATTATATGGCAAGTGAATATGAATGTCTAAAATATGATTGTTACCCTCCACAATATGGTAAGTATTCTTGGCTAACTTTGGTCAAATAAGCTTACTGTTTACTAAAGTTTGTAACCTACACTGTCTATGTATACAGTACTGCATATCTGCATCACCTATATACATGATGAATCAATTCAAACTGATATGATGATTTTACCAAATAAATATTTATCTACTAAATCAATTTATCTACATCAGAACTTCAAATGTCCGACCCAGGAATGCCTGCAATGCCCCCTGTATCATCTCAGGTAAACCAAATGTGATTCTCTGCAAAATGCCAATGTTATAATGCATGAATTACCTGAAACTAGATGATATTGTATACTGCATGTCTGTTTCCACGATATATTCAGGTAAAATTTATTGTATACAGGCCCCCCCCCCCCAAATTTGCTAGGGTTAGATTCTCAAAATGGCCGTAAATCGCCAAATCCGCGAATAACATTTATGGACCGGAGGGGGGGGGGAATACATTTTTACTTGTGTACAAAGAAATGTAGATTCCTTTATGTGTTTGCTCTTAGGACAATTATTTCTTTTACCAGTATTATTGTAATAATAATAAATAATAATAATAATAATAATTAACGGTTTATTGAAAGAGCTTGGCAGCCAGAAGGCTGTGTGTGTGTGTGTGTGTGTGTGTGTGTGTAGACACACACAAAACACATACAAATAAATAATTGGAAAATCCTCTCACAAATAATCAAAAACACATCTATTAAAAATGTGACAGTCTACCCTCAAGTCCGTGCTCTATGACAGTATACTGTATTAATAGAGCACGGACTTGAGGGAGGCTCACATTTTTAATAAATTTGTTTCTGATTAGGTATTTGTGAGAGGATTTTCCAATTATTATTTATTTGTACAGTACAGTATGTGTTTTGTATGTGTGTGTGTGTGTCTACACGCACACACATACTGTATTTACGATATTGCACAGGTAAAGAAAATTACTGTCTCTAGAACGAATGGCTCCCTGCCCCAGCCACAAAAATGCCGGCAACTTTAAAACTACCCACAGACATTCTTGGGTACATCCAGGTTGTCATCTGCGAATAACCGCGAACTTGGGGGGGCACACTGTACTTTCCTTTCAAGGAAAAAATGTACTACTGTAATTGCTAAAATCAATTAATTTTTAACTTTTCTGTGCTCTCATCCACTCTTTGTAAGATCACATGGTTTGCATACAATATCTTCCCAGATATTTATAAACACACTCAGGTAATACATATATACAGGTAGTCATGTCATTAAGATATTGGGAGTCTGAAAAAAACATATTTGTAATTTTTCCAATGGTTTTTGACATGAGGCTGAGTGTCAATACATTTGCCAGTCAGAGTGATATGCCTGAAGCAGGTCAATGAAGAGGTGAAAATTTTCTATCTCAGTAAAATGTAATTAATCCACAGGGCTCTCCATGGATGGATACACTACCAAAGTGGTTCAATGACACACCATGGTGGTTCAAGACACCACCTGCCTGGTTCCATACTCCCCCAGCCTGGTTCAATATTCCTCCTAAACCTCAAGTAATTGATGAAGAAATACAAATAGAAACTGGTGAGGGCATTGTCCCAGGATCAATTACTAAAGAAATCACCTTAGGAACTAATGCCTCCATCAGCGGCCAAGAAAACACCTTCTATGCAGATAGTAAAACATTAAGGTAAGATTAACGTCTCTCACTGACATTTGATTCTGAATTTTTTCAAAAATTTACTTCACCTGCCAGTGCATAATCTCAAACTCTTAACATTCTGAAATGAAAGTTCATACCATAACCAGAGTTTCTCATCCCCTTTCTAATTTTCACATGCCAAATTTTCTCATTCAAATACTGTAGTACAGTACAGGTACCCATATACTCTGTAGTACGTATTTGGAAATTCTAAAATTCTAAAGTGAGTCAATACTGTACATTACCTTATACAGTACTCAGTATTTTACCCCAACTGAAAGTTCAACCAATCTTAATCATAATTTTGTTCATACAGTAATTTGCTGTTACTACTGTTCCAAGCCTTTTTTCTGTTATACTGTATTGCAAGGTGGCCAGAATCAACAGTAAACACAGACTTCCTCTTCATTCACTGTTATTCAGTTAACTTTACTGTTGAAACAGGCCTGTTCTTCTATGCTGCTCTCCTTCAACTACATGGGGTTAAGATATCCTATCTGCTATATCCATTTTTATTTTCATACACTTTTACTCATGAAAAATTTTGTGGCTCCATAGCAAAATTGGTAGTGTCTGCCTCATGATTAAATATTCTTGGGTTCAATATTCAACCATAATACAGACATAGGGTCCCTCCTTATCCAATGGCACTTGTGCACTCAGCAATAAATGAAAACACTATTGGTTACTCCTGGTTATCAAAAAAACCCTTTGGTGAACTTGTACAGTATGTTACTCAGTGCTGAAAATCAGACTAGGATTTGCCTAACCACCTTGCATCACAGCAGGAAAAGAATTGTACTGTACTGTATAATAATAATAATAATAGTAATAATAATAATAATAATTACCAATGTATCAACCTTGTCACTATGGTAAGAAGCTATAGCACTGGCTCACTTATTTCCCCTTTAAAATCTTACTGTCACCTCTTTTCCAGGATTCACATTCCCATCAAGATCATCCAGCAGTAATATGCAAGAAGAGAGACAGATCTTTGTGCAAAGTCTGAGTTTTCGTTGTGGAAGAGCTGATGACCAAATGCACTCATTGAATCAATATCTGGGCTACTTTATATTGTTCATGGAATAAACTATTGATCCAATAATATAAAAATCATTAACTCAACCTCAGTAAATCATTAGACATATCTGTACCAGTTTTCCCATCAGAGCTGCTGTAGTTTGTCCTTTTGGCTTAATTATCAACAATAGGTAAACTACAGTCCTCTTAATCTCCATCCTCTTCAAATTCTCTCTGGGTCTTCCAACTAAAATTAATATATATTTGGTGACAACCTAGAGTAATGAAATATGGCCTACCTAGCTTATAAATTTATTTCCCTGCCCAATTCAAACTTTAGGAGTGAACGCATAAAGCTTCCATAGCAGTTTCCACCAACTGAGAAGCTACATACCTTGAACATTTACTGAATGTAATACAGGTAGTTTTTACACCAGCAGAAAAAAATCACTATTGTACCTTCATACAGTACTGAATCTACAAGGATTGAACATTCAGGAATTTCATCATAAGCAATGTGTGTACAGTAGGCTCTCGCCAATAACGACTTCCACAGTAACGTTTTCGACAATAACGGTAAGTTACAATAGATACCCATTTTCGATAATAACGTCTGGATTCTCTTGAATAACGGAAATTTCGCGGGATGCGTCCGAGCGCATCAATGATAGCATTTGTTTGCCGCCATGTTGATGACATAGTTGTCCACTCCGCCTCACTCTCACTGTCACACACGCTCAGTGGAATACAGCGCTGCGCCCATGTGTGAGATTTTCACCACTATAACCAGTGGTTGTTAGGGTCGATGATCAATAATGGCTTCCGCATTTTTGCCTGTGGGGGCTAGGGGAGGTGGTGGAGGGAGTGATTTGCCACCTGAATGACTGGGAACTTTTAAAGTGAGGAAATTGAACTGTCCTGAGTGTACAGTGCGAAATATTAAGAGGAACTTAGAGGAGACCATGAAGAGTATTGTGCTGGCTAAAAATATTTCGGTAGTGATGGAAATGCGAGGCGAGCTATGAATGATAAAGGCGATAGAAACAGGTTGTTAGTGATAACAGAGCATTTTCTTGTGAAATGGTTAGCTTGTAGAATGAAAGACAGTGCAAGTGTTAGCGGCCCTCAGATATGGAACAATCATCACACCAAGCACCTCAAAAACTAAGTGTTATATTACTCAAACTCTTTATTTTGATGATTGAATAGCAATTCTTTTTATTTCAGCTAACAAAAAGTGTTAGGAGGGCTTCAAGGGGAAAAAATGGGTGAAATTCTTGTGGCAGCGGCACCAATAAACCCTTTTTACATGTATTTTAATGTCACACAAATAACGTTTTCGCTAATAACGGTGTTTTTCAGGCACCTATTAAACGTTATTGGTGAGAGCCTACTGTACTATGTATGACTAATAATACAGTACAGTATACTGTACACTACAGGTATACAGTACACCTTCGCCAACCATGGATTTCTCATCCACAGATTCCGGGTATCCATGGTTTTTACTCTGTATACCACTTCACAAACCACGGCATTGAATTTCGAGTATCCGCGGATTAGTGTGACGTCTTTATCCCGCTGTGGTCTAATGCATTCCTCCGTAAATGTGAGGAATGAATAAAAATAATATTAATAAATTAAAGAAAAGAAAATACTGCATTGCCATTTAGCAATTGTTTCACTAAGCACACAGGTGACAGGAGAGCGCGCCCCCCTCCCATGATCATGGGATAACTCCTGTGGATGTAAGAAATGTTTATTCTCTTTATGTTTTTGACCTTATGATAATCATTTCTTTTATACATTCTGTGTGTAAATAAGATCATGTATGCATATCTATCCAAAAATAAGAGTTGAAAAATAAAAATAACACAGCTTTGCCTGGTGGGGGTAGAGCTAAGGTGATGTAGCTACAGAGACAGTCTAACATGGCGACCTGCCAAGTTCACACACACGTTTACTTCACACATATACGAGTACACACCCATGCCCTTAATTGTTCTTATTTTATAGTAATATGCCATCTGCACAGAGATGTACTGTAACATTTATATTACAGTACTATTTAATTTGTATTTAACTATTTTATATGTACAGTATTTGACTAAAATTTAATTTAATATACAGTACAATAGAGTTATTTTAAAATTTCATATTACCTTCATCCCCTTCACTACATGGATGCCACTTTTAATATTTTAATTGGCTAATGCCCTAAAAAATGCCAAATTGTATAAAAAACTGCCAACCCACCTTCACAGAAATTTGATGGTCAATTCGACTTAAAACTAGCCAATTTGGCGTGAAACTGCCAACCTTGGAACTTGTGGAATACTGACAGAAATTACAGAAGAACAAGATATATAATATATACAGTACTGTGAAGTCGACCCCAAGGGGTAAAAATAAACTCAACATAACCTCACACCTGACTCTTTGTCAAGAGTTTTTACCGGTCTAGACAACTTGTTGTCCCAATGGCCCCACCAGACTTACCTTAATCCATTTCAACTTGATGTTGCCCATTTATACAAAGATTTTTTTGCTATTTTCAAGCATTAGTAAATCAATTCTGTGCAATATTGATTAAGATTAACCTTTAAAAAGGGGATTAAAAAATTTATCTTCCAGTTAGTAGACTACAGTTTTACCCCGCCTAACGCGGTTTCACTTAACGCGTTTTCGCATATACGCGGTGCCTTGCCAAAGCTGAACTTTCACTTAACGCAGATTTTTTCCACATATACGCGGTGAGTGTCCGAGACGCTATTTTTAGATTTGCCCCACCCGCCACCCTGCCTGACTGCCTGTTTTAGCTCATAAAATTCATACAAATTACCAGGCCAGAATATAATTTACATTGCTGGAATTCTTATAATTTGGTGATCATTTTGAATATAAACATCATATATTTTGCTTTAAACTTACAATTTTTAGATAAAAATTTTTCTCTAGGTAACTATGGTATCTTTTATGCAAAATATATGACATTTATATTCAAAATATTCCTGGTCTTACAAGGAATCCAGCAATGTCAATTATATTTTCCTAACTTTAGTTTGAGGAATATGTCAATTTATATTAATCGACTGTATTTCTCTATTTCTCTTAAGTATTAATTGTTGCATGTACCATCATAAAATTAAGATGTTATTTTTACTACAACATAGGTATGTGCCTTCAAAAAGTGGAGTTTGGGGGTCGGGCCGGTTTCTATTGGAATTAATCCCATATGTTCTGTTGTTCACTTAACGCGGATATCACTTAACGTGGGACCCTCTGGGTTCAATTGACCGCGTTAAGTGGGGTACAACTGTACAGTATTTCCGCTAACTCCTTCACTATGGGAATGCCACTACTATTAGTATTTTGTTTGGCTATTGCCAGACGATTTTATTCAGCTTAAATGGGGGCCCAACGCACAAGGGGTTAAAGAAAGACTGTCTTGACTTCAAAATTGAATCTAAGAACAATGTGGATGGGGCAGATAATGCAAAATGAAAATCTTACATAATAACCCTTAAATAAAAAACTCTTTATATATATACCCTGATGAGAGAATTATGTTACACCTACTCTAAGTTCCATTCATCCTCCATAATCTGGTGGTAACCCTTGTCATGTGAGGTCATAATTCCTATCACCTTACATCTACAGCCTCTCACGTGATGTTTCATTTGAAATGTTGACAACTTGACACTGACTCACCAGAGGAAGGAGCTAATGTAGAGATAAATTACCTGCACCTGACATAGGTCACTAATCCTGGTACAGTGATGACAAGCAGTCCATTTAAGTGTTTTACCACAAGCCAGGAATGTGTACGAGTTGGTCTAGACACTTGACCTGACGTGATTCAGTCTAATGTGATGCCAGGTGAGTCTTATGTGAGAAGGTGAGTTTGACCGAACCCAAACTGGATCCACCACTTGGATATTAATGCTTCTTTAACCGAGTGAGGGACAACTACAATACTAGCCAAAGGACAAGGTATCATGGTATCAAGGTATCTTTGACCTTGATCTTTAACCTGTTACATATTAATGATCCCTTCAACAACCATATATACCAAGTACTGTATAATAACAAAGAATGCAGAAATGTATGTACACATATAATTCCTGTTGTCACCTTACAGCTATGGAAGCAATGGGTAAACCAGTCATTATTGGAATGGATGATCCCCCAAGCTAAACCAAAGAGACCAGAAGTGATAGCATTAATCAACTATGTATAGAGAACATACATTTTGGTTGTGATGTTCCAAAAAAAACTTTAATTATGATGGGAAAAACATTTGTCTGCAAATGGGCAAAAGGCTGGATGGATGGGGAGCATCATTACTATACCCTGGTGAATCCTTTTAAGTGACGAGATAATAATAGCACATGCAATGACTTAGCTGACAACTAAAACTTCAGCTCCAAAATAATATAAATTCTTTATCAAATTATTACTTACCTTATATGGTAGACTGGACACATCCCTGGCTTGAAATCTTGACCTTAATGGAGGGTCAAGAGGGTGACCCTGGTATGGGGGCGAGGGCAGTCCTAAAGCAATAACTCTGAAGTCCTCATCAACTCGTACCAAATTCATTCTATCTAGCTCTTCCTGGGAATGTTCCTGGAGGATAATGTTGCAAAAACTATATCAACACCACTAAAACTTAACTTATTGCCTCTCAGTAATATAGGATGGAGCACGTATAACTTTAATCATGATTCAAGTTGCTAATATGTAATTATTTTAAAGTTCCGGAAAAAATCTGGGCGATGTTTTGTTTTTTCTTTTTTGAAAGGAACTGAAGCAAAATCAAGCCTTATAATCTTTACAGTATTCTATCAACATCAGCTGGTTACCTGTATGTGCAAAAGCAATCAACATATTACCAAAATAATTTGCTAGAATTACAATGTTATTTACTAGCCATGTCCAGGACTCGGCTAATAGCCTTGGAGGGCAGAGGGCAGTAATGCTAAGTCAAATTCATGAATGCCTTCATACCTCTTCAAAATTGCTAAAAATTCACAAAATTCCTATAAAATATATTAATAAAAATCATATGCAGCTAAATTTATGAATATTCTATTTAATTTTCTATTAGTAAGCATAAACTGTCACAAGATGAGACAGGTCACCAACCTGGAGACAATAATTCCAATAAACTTGTCAGCTCAGGATGATGATTATTTCATATTATTGTGTGTGCAGTGCATTATCATACATCTACTTATTGCTTCAGCTTGTCCTTCTAACAAAAATATTGCAATTACATTTTGTGGCCTGCAAATTTTCATGACAAGGATTGGTAAAATCTAAAATAATAATACAATTATCTAAATAATATTCTTTTAGCACTCATTCATGTGGTAAAATTATGCTTACATTATTAAAGGAAAAAACAAACTACCCTAACATTTTTTTTTTCAATAGTTTGCTGGAAGCACAAGTAAATGTGTGTCATGCACATAGGTACACAAGCATTCGCACCTGAATCAGTTTGTCATATCTGGAACTAGAAATTAATAGTCGTCCATCCTCAAGCTGCATCTCTCGATTTTCTAAGAGATTGTTAAGAACTGGTAATACATTTCTTTCTGCTTTCTCGATACCTTCCAAAACCAATACACGTCCTTCAACAGCTGCTCGAACTGCATTCTGTAACATGGAGTATCATTACTACATGTACAGTATAAACAGAGAACTGATAATAAGGCATTGTGAATCAATGTACAATTGCCCAAATTGTTAAAATGCAATATGATACAATTGCTGTATTTCCTCAATGGAGGTATGAGAGGAGCTGGAGGTCAAGAGGTGGATGAGGTAAGGGAGGGAAAGTGCTGTAGGAGGTAATACAGCAAAAGAGATGGAAGTAGACAAAAGTGGAGGAGGAATGGGAGAGAGGGTGGGGGAGGAAGGGAAGGAGCCATAAGACAACTGCAATTCCATACAGCAACAAACTTAATATCACTGAATACAATATATTACATCCTGTATTTGTAATATAAACTTACGACACAACTGAAATAGTAACAATTCTTTTTTAATAATATACCTGTACAAGTACACTCACACGCCATAGTTTTGATGCAACCTCTACCCCTACTCGACTCAATGGAAGTAGTAGCTTTGGCTTCATACCAAACGTTCCCCCCACCCATCGTTCAGTGGGGCAATGTGGTAGCTCGAAGCTTCGCTGGGTTGTACGAATAACAGTTCATGATGTAATATTTGAGAGAATATATGCATGATACTTTTTTTTTAGTAACTTCACAACACTTTATTTACCATCACTATACTTAACATCACTATACAAGAGGGACCGTTCGGCTTGTAACCCTGACTACGACTTCCCTTGAGCCAGGAGTAAGGCGAGTGAGTGTACCTGTATATGTAAATATAAAACATAAATTACTGGTAATTAAATAATTTCATCAGTTCTGTTAAAGGCAGTGTTACCAGATAATTTGCTCCAAATACGAATCATCGGTGTGTACTGGGGTATATTGTACAATTGCCTGCAATATAATGTTCCTCACCTGTCAGGCAACAGGGTACATATGGCAATGTCGTAGTGATTGTCAAGGTAACCCCAAATGAGGGTTGGTGTAGGGAGAGGGAGAATAACAGTCCAAAAGGATAATTATAACACAGACATATACAGTAATACCTAAAATAAAATAAAATGTATGTAAAGTTATTGACATACCCCCAGTTAAGGTAACTTGACTCTGCTGAGCTGCCACATGTACTGAGTCACCTGTGAGGTAAGAAGCATTACACATGCAGGCAAATGTACATTGCATTTATTAAATATTTGTACTAAATGGGAAAATTCGCCTGCCTATTTAAGTTAAATATGATAAACAAACATAAGACTGATACACATACAGGCTCTAGATTTGAATACAATTAAATTGTAACTATAATGCATACTGTACCTACAGTACCATAAATATACCCTATACATCTTAATATAGAAATAGAAGTTCTTACTTGATCATGGTAGAAAGATGTTCCACCCCTAATCTCTCTCCTCTGTTTGAGATCAGTGTCAGTCGTATCTCTCGTAAGCGTAACAAACTCCACTTCTCTCTTTGTGAGTTGTAAATATGAGAGTGCTAATAATCTTCTAAGGGGGCCAGGAGGGCCAATAAGAAAGACATCTTGCCCTAACTGATCCTTCTGCAGCAGCCATCTCAGGTGTTTGAGCATGGACTGTGGAAGCTCCTCTGATACTGTAAAGTAAAAGATCAAAAGTTAACAGAAAGTGATAGTAAGTAACAGAGAATATTAGAGAAGTACAGTTATTGTAAAGTAAAAGAGAAGTAAAATACTCGTAATAACAATAATCAGTGACTAAATATTTGTGATGGAAGCATGATGAACTTCCCTAAAATCAATGTCATATCTGTTGTGTATCTTATGGGTGCAAGTTCTTACCTGTAATTATAATCAATAAAGCCATAAGTTTGGGTTCACTCTGTTTCACTAAACATGAGATAAAGAAAGCAGGCTTTTTTATATTATTCTCTTTAGGAGCTAGAGATAAAGATAGTACTGTATATAGTTTCATCCTATTCCTTTGTGAGGTCTAGTGCATCTGGTCCACCCCATTGACTGTTACTGAGAATGAAATATGGTCCATTAGGCTAGACATAAAACAGAGATAAGTAGAGCCCTGTATGTATAGAAACAACTTCAACTAAAAAATTAAAATACAATAGCCTGTCTCAAAATCATGTGATTATACAGTATTACCCCGCCCAACGCGGTTTCACTTAACGCGTTTTATCATATACGCGGTGCCTCGCCAGAGCTGAACTTTCACTTAACACGGATTTTTTCCACATATACGCGGTGAGTGTCCGGCTCGAGACGCTATTTTTAGATTTGCCCCACCCTGCCTGACTGCCTGTTTTAGCTCATAAAATTCATACAAATTACCCGGCCAGAATATAATTTACATTGCTGGAATTCTTATAATTTGGTGATCATTTTGAATATAAACATCATATTTTTGCATTAGACATACAAATTTTAGATAAAAATTTTTCTCAAATTAACTATGTTATCTTTTGTGCAAAATATATGACATTTATATTCAAAATATTACTGGTCTTACAAGGAATCCAGCAATGTCAATTATATTATCCTAACTTTAGTTTGAGGTATTATTTATTAAAATTTAGTGGTTATCCCACACATCTCCTTGGGACGGTTGGTGGGGGGTGGGGGGGAGGGAGGGACCGACCGACCATCTGTTACCCTGTGAAGAATTATTTTTTTTTTTATTAACTGAAGATATTTGTTTTAGCTCATAAAATTCATACAAATTATCCGGTCTGAATATAATTTACATTGCTGGAATTCTTATAATTTGATGATCATTTTGAATATAAACATCATATTTTTGCATTAGACATACAAATTTTAGATAAAAATTTTTCTCAAATTAACTATGTTATCTTTTGTGCAAAATATATGACATTTATATTCAAAATATTCCTGGTCTTACAAGGAATCCAGCAATGTCAATTATATTATCCTAACTTTAATCTGAGGTATTATTTAATACTAAATGTTAAAAACCCTGGAAGGGAGGATTGGTGGGGGGTGGGGGGGAGGGTTGGGACTGACCGCGCGGTTGGAAGAGGGGGGGAGGCAAGGTGGGGTACTTTGATTGACAGATAGTGTTGTGAAGATTATTTTTTTTTTTATTAACTGAAGATATTTGTTTTAGCTCATAAAATTCATACAAATTACCCGGTCAGAATATAATTTACATTGCTGGAATTCTTATAATTTGGTGATCATTTTGAATATAAACATCATATATTTTTCATTAAACATACAAATTTTAGATAAAAATTTTTCTCTAGGTAACTATGTTATCTTTTGTGCAAAATATATGACATTTATATTCAAAATATTCCTGGTCTTACAAGGAATCCAGCAATGTCAATTGTATTATCCTAACTTTAGTTTGAGGTATTATTTATTAAAATTTAGTGGTTTTCCCCCAAAAATTTCTCTGAGAGGGAAGAGCCAGCGAGTGTAGTGTGAGAGGGGGAGGGAGTTGAGTCCATTATTTGAATGGACATTAACTTGGCGACTGTATTTCTCTTAAGTATTAATTGTGTGCATGTACCATCATAAAATTAAGATGTTATTTTTACTACAACATAGGTATGTGCCTTCAAAAAGTGGAGTTTGGGGGTCGGGCCGGTTTCTATTGGAATTAATCCCATATGTTCTGTTGTTCACTTAACGCGGATTTCACTTAACGCGGGACCCTCTGGGTTCAATTGACCGCGTTAAGTGGGGTACAACTGTATTTTTAAGCCTAATTCAGTTCTTAAGGGTTATACAGTATTGTACTGTAGTACAGTACAGTATATGCAAAAGTTTAAGTGAATTATTTCAGATATAAAGATAAATCATGTATGATGTTGCAGTCTACTTGTACAGGTTGACAATCCTTTATCGGAAATCCTTGGGGCCAGAGGCATTTCGGTTTTCGGAATTTTTGGGTTTTCAGAATGGTTAGGTTTTTTATTTTATTTTATTTTTTTTATGTGTATTAGCCCACCCGGGCATAGATCACTGACCCACATTGGGGCCTGGGGGTCTAAAATATAATAAAAATTATAATAATAATAATAACTCATAGGTCTTGGTCGTGTTTCTCACTTTTGATCTTTTTTTCATTCTTGTATTTCTTAACTGTATTATTATTTTATTATTACAGTATTATTGTTATTATTATTATTATTAATTTTATTATTATATTTTATTATCATTATTATTATTATTATTATTATTATTATTATTATTATTATTGTAATCATTATTATTTTATTTTGGTGTATAATTATTAAAAATTTTATTTACTATGAATAATTATTATTATTATAATTATTATTACTATTACATTTTTGCCCCCCAGGCCCCGATGTGGGTCAGTGATCTGTGCCTGGGTGGGCTAATAATCCCTGTTAAAAAAAAAAAAGCCCCACAAAAAACTTTCGGTTTTTAGAGCTTTACGGTTTTCGGAATTTCGGATAAAGGGTTGTCAACCTGTACAAGTAAGTTTTCCTCTTAAGAAGTAGCCATGACCAAAGAGCCTCTAGGCTGCCCCTATCTCCACATATCTCCTGTAGTCCCTCCATTAATATTCCTTATACAGGTACTGTATTCCTTTCTCAGTTATTTTCTAAATATATATTACAGTATTTTATCTTTCTCTCCTATGGTGTAGGCTGCCACCCTCTACCTAACACATCTGCTACAAGTTTAGTTTAAAAACAAAAACTTACAATACCCAACTGGCACAAGCTCTGGATGCTTTGGCTTCTTTAGTTGTTTAGTCACATCATTAATGGTTACCACTGATGACTCTGCAAGAAGTAACAACAATGTTTTAGATCCTGGACTTCTCTTTAATTAGGGTAGAGGTATGCTAGGGCTACAGATCTGACAAGGGCTAAAATGGATATGTACTACGTTAAAAAGAAGTACTGTATAAACATTTTTTTTATTAAAACCCATCCACCCCCCCAAAAACATGGTTTTAACCATTGGTTTAAACCCCTCCACCCTGTTCGAAAGTAACCTCCTAAAATAAACTTGACCTAATGATTATTCAGATTTAGGTACTTGATATTGTTTTACTTATTCTAAAAATACATTAATTTCTCTATGTTTTGACACCAGAAGCATTAAAATTGTATGGTTAGTTAGGATGTGATGATAAAAACAATGTACAGTAGGCCCTTCAAATTCCCGGGGGTTAGGTTCTCAAAATGGCCGCGAATCGCCAAATCCGCGAATAACATTTGCTGATCGGGGACATTTTTACTTGTGTAAAAAGAAATGTTTATTCCCTTTATGTGTTTGCCCTAAGGACAATTATTTCTTTTACCTGTGTTGCATATGTGTGTGTGTCTGTGTGTGTGTGTGTGTGTGTGTGTGTGTAGACACACACACACAAAACACATACAAATAAGTAATAATGGGAAAATACTCTCACAAATATAGTCATCAGAAACAAATTTATATTAAAAATGTTGAGTCTACCCTCAAGTCCACTCCGTACTTTGTTATTAATAAAGAACAGAGGAGACTTGAGGGTAGACTCAACATTCTTAATACTACATTTGTTTCTGATTATTTGTTAGAGGATTTTCCCCTTATTATTAATTTGAATGTGTTCTGTGTGTGTGTGTCTACACACACATATATACAATACAGGTAAAGGAAATTACTGTCTCTAGAATGAATGGCTCCCTGTCCCGGCCGCAAAAATGCTGGCAACTTTAAAACTATCCGCAGACATTCTTGGGTACATCTGGGGTGTCATCCGCGAGTAATAGAGGACCGTGAAATAAAAATCTGAGAATTATCTGGGTGTACTGTTCACTAACTTTAACCCTGATTATCTCAAAACATGATTTTTGTGCATACATAGGTACTCTGCTGAGCACCTCAAATGACAATGGTGAGATGTATGTGTATTGTAATGTTGAGTGATACTGGGTAAAAACTCGGTTGAAAGCTAAGAGGATGGCTGGGTGTTGAGAGTATGTGAAGAAATTAAAAAGACTAACTGGGTCATAAGGTGAATGAGTTTCAATGCTCAGGGGAGATTTTTCAAGAATGTAACCTCTGTGAAAACCAAAGGCCCACTGTAGAGTTGAAGACATCTCAATCTACAATCATATCTAACAAAATATGTGCAACTAAAAGCAATATTGGATTAGCTCTAATAAAAAAACAAAACACACAAGGAAGATAATTATGATGTTTCAACTATGAGCAAAGTTTGAATGAAACCTTAACATTCCAAGACAGACATGTTGTTATTGTAATCGATTCCATTGTCTTTGGAACTAAGGAATTGTAATCGTAATTGATTCCAAGGAAAAAGGAATCAAACTCCTGATTATAAAATATCAAATTGACATTGAGGAGAGCAAAGGTGGGTGAGGCGGAACCACACCCGCATCATGAGACAGAGTTGGCCAATTCCCAAGGGAATTAATGCTTCTCTAATCCCTACCTTGACCTGACTCCCTGTTATTTAAATATTACAAAAAGTAGGAACCAATTTTTTATTTACAGGTATATGTTTTCCTGTTATATTTATTACTCATTGAATTCAGTAATTTTTGGAGTATAGTATTGTATGTATTTAATATTCACTTTTCATGGCATTAATTTTGTGTTGTTTTCTTTTGTTTACCCAATTTAAAGCTGTAAGAACCATGATGAGTTTTTAATATAATTGTAATTTTTGGAAGGCAATGTAACCCAGGACTTGCAAGGAAATCGCAATTGATTACATTTGTGGAGGAACCATAACGTGATTGGTCCAAGATATGGCTGCAGATATAAAAATGAATGAACAGAGAGATGGACAAATAGAAGGGACAGAATTCCCAAATTGCAAAACAGTACTGTATGCTGGGTTATATGTCTGTCAGGGTTAAGATATTCTTAAAGCATAATCACCTCTTTTACGCACGATAGCCTGTGAATGAAGCTAAAGTCAAAATACTAAACCAACAATAGCAGTCAACTTAAGCAAACAATGATTAGCACAGTGTTGCATACACAATAATTCTCAACTCTTTTCATTAAACCAACCTGAACTTAAGCGTAGGGGCACATAAGAGGCAGTTGTTGGACTTCTGCAGATACGTGGTGTAGCAAGGATTCGACTCAGTACATGAAGACGACTCAGCACTATTTGTGACCTCATCTAAAACAGATGTACAGGGTAGGTTAAATAATGAACGATTCAATAATTATGCCAAGTAATTCTTGACTAATTTTAAAGGAAGATGTGACAGATTTCCTCCCACAACCTAGAGAAAAATATTGACAGGTTGAGTTTCCTCTTTTACACTAATCCTTTCTCTCTCAAGAATATAATGAATACCCAGTACACTATCAGCTGGACCTGTTGATGGTGAAACAACCATGAGGAACAGCAGCATTCTGCTAATGCTGAATTTTAGAAATCTGGGCATCAACACCCATCAAGCTATTTTGCCCCATATTAGAAAAAGGGTTGCATGCTTGAACGAAAAAAAAAAGTATTGAACAGTACAGTATACCAAAATTTCACCCCCATTCTCTAGCAGGGTTCACTTCAAAAGAAATTAGCATGTATAACTTACAAGGCTTTCATAACAGTCAAGTACCCAGTAACTTTATCCAGCTGAACTTTCCAATGTTATGGTGAAGAAATGACATCTTAGATTCTGGACCCCAAGCCTTTCTCAACACGTACAGTACTCTACCTCCTCAGATAAATGAAGGATTGGTCCTGAAATACCATTCTATAGCTAAGCCAGAAAGTAAATAGCTTGATTACAAGCATACAATAAGCCGTAATTCTAGTTCCAAGAGGCCTGACAATCAGTTCTACCCCCCCACTGCAACTGTTGACCTGAGAGTGAAAGTGGGAAAATAAAAGTGACGGTTTTCCCTTATGAAGACTATTAGGAAGAGCATGTGATATAACACCAGTTAGAGTACACTTTCTTTATGGACTGTCCATGAAGGTCTTAAGGTGGCAATCCTCATCCATTTAAGTCATTATAGTCTTCCACACTAATGGGAGGAAGGAGGGTTTCTGAGCTCAGCCATATATTGAAAATTCAATAACATTCTTTCATTTATGGCCAGTTGCCCTTCACTACATGGTCTAAGTATCTGAAGCCTGTTAGGAACAGGAGGAGTTGGGTACAAGTGCTAAGTGTGACACAGCATACCAAAGAGATGTTAACCTCCGCTAATATTATTTATATTGTAGTGGGGAACGAGACTCCCAACTTACAAACTTTCCAATGCCATAGAAGCCATCGAAGTCACTTCCTTATACAGATAATGACTTACAAAATGTGCAAGCCAAGGTCAAGTACCAGTCAACAAAATATTCAAGACTAATGAACATAACAGAAATAATTAAGCATTGCAAAATCTGCAGCAATATCTCATCATTTCCCCTGTTCTATAGATACTTTCATAATATCTGTTCTGATGACCTACAAGGACATTTGGGAGGGCCCATAACTTTCTCATAATATTTCAGTATTCATAACTTCTGCTTACTGTATGGGAATCTCTCTCAAAGAGTATTTTTCCTACATCATATAATCTGCAACAGTTCAAAACATCCCAATTGAAGTACTGTATCTTCAATCTTTGGCTAGTGGATGCCTTGGTGAACAGATATTACAACAACATTTATCTGATCTCTCCCTGCATATTGAATTGTAAAAATAAATGTCCACAATTTGTTAGGAGACACAATAAATTTCTACTTTATCAAATGAGCTTGATTTTTAATGTAACTAGACTATGTGACTAAGTTTCTTATCTTAGTGCATGAAAAAATGTCAACAGCAATTTTTCTTTCATGTGATTACCTTTTGTGGCAGTATCCTGGCCCCTTGTAATATGTTCTCTTCACCCTTAATGTTCCCTACACCAGGTGGAGTTTTGTTGTCTGCAGCAATGGTGCTCACGTGGTTCTCATCTTATGCATCTATCAGGTTGTCTCTCCCAATCCTGATCAAACAAACCAACTGTAGTTACAAACTAACATACACTGCATGAAAAATAAAAAACATAAGATCATTAATGCAATACAGTACTGTACACCATCTGACCTTCATTTCTGTCAGAATTGACCTGTTAAGGATATAATCCCCCCACCACCCACAACAATTTTGATCACACAAAGCAGGCAGCGCTTTGAAGTCGAGGGAAATAGTGGGGTAAGAACAGACAAAACTAATTGACCAAACCTGACCTAACCAAACCTAACTTTATCTAACTTAACCTTACCTTTGTCTTTGTGATAATGTGTCATTTTATGAAAACCAAATGTGTTTAACTTCACAGTACTGTAATGGCAGTCTTCACCACACATTGGACACTTTACAGAAATTGGCAGAACACCATAAGCCTTGAAAATATCAATAGCAGAGGCTTCATTTTCAATCACACATTTGCCAATCTGAGAAATAGCATTCTTCCCTAAGTTAAATTCAAAAGCCTGAGCATGCGCTAACGTATCATGTGACATCAAGACTTCCACTGATTGGCGGGAAAAAGTCACCTGAGTAAGATATAAACAGTGTTTCCTGTGAACTTACATTTTAAGTGAAATCGAAAAGTCAAAATACCTCAAACAATATAAATTTGCAATGTAAAAGTAATAGATTAAAGTAAGGGCTGTATTCTTATTTTTCTATTTATTTATTATTTTTTTTTTTATAAATTTCAAAATAGAGCTATGCGGCCATCCTTTACTGATTCTTAACTGTGCTGTACTTCTTGCTATAAATACATCCGCTCGCTGTAAACAAATGCTTCCCAGCGACCTCTCTGTACCTTATCCAACCTACCAGTAATGCTGCTAAGGCAAGATTTTAACCATTTACTTTCTATCATTAGATTACAATCGAAGTCAGTAATAGAATGAGTAATAGAATGGGTAATGGTGGAGCACAGTTAGCACCAGAAGGACTTTATGGAATTGCATCAAATTTTCAGGTGTTGTTTGGATGATACTCAGGTCTATATTCTCAGTCGTTACACCACCTGACCGATCGAAAACAGTGTCGGGCGAGGTCTTTCAGAGATGCCACAGACCCGAAGGCAGTCCCAGTGGATTAGGTTTGCTATCGAGATCGTTGGGACATTTCATCGGGAGGGGATGCCTGCCCGGTTTTTTACAGGTTTTGAATGATTTTGACCTTCATTTCTATCGGAAATCACTTGTTTTTGAGATCCCCCCCCTTATCCAACAGTAAAGAGGGACCCCCAATAAGAACCTGGGGTTTTGGGTTGGTGAAAATTACCAAAACTAGCGATTCCCGACAGAGAAAGGTCCAAATCGTCAAAACACATAAAAAATCACCGGGAAAACATAGTTTGCATATCTAACCTAACCGAAGAGTAAACTTTTACCAACCTAACCTAACTCTTTTTTACTTTTACTCTCTTCACCACCGATCGGCTCGTTAGCTGCTTGGGCGGTCGGTCATGTTTAACCCGGATGACCTAAACTAAAATAAATACGGTATTTTTTTACAAGTAGACAACCAAAGAACCTCATGAATTTCTTCTTACCAATCAATGTAGTTGACTATTATAAACTTTTTTTTCTATAATTATAATATGCTAGCAAATGTTTAATAACGGCAATAGAATAGTCGTTAATATAACTTTTTCCAATACTGTACTTCAAATGTCCCACGTCAGTCAGGGCTATCACTCGGGTTTCTACATCAGGCTAGGTTATGTAAACGTCATGGTTACATTGTTAGGTTAGGTTAGAAGAAATTTGACCATGAGTTTTGCAGCCAATTAGCCTTGTGTGCTTCCCCCACCCAAAAACCCTAATTTCCCTCGGGTCCCCCACATTGAAGGGGGGAGAGGGGGGCTAATTTGCGGCAAAAATCATGATCAAATTCATTAACTCGGAAAACACATTGCTCAACAAAAAATCCATGGTTGTCCAAGTAAAAATTTACCAATAATACCATTTATAGTTCATAAGAGAATGTATATCTGCAATAATGTTCTATTTATTACCGGCAATACTAACAAGTAAAGTAATACCTCCGTTGCTCCCGGTGTACTCTTGCATAATGTGTTTATCAACAACAATCAGCTGATGGCACAAGGTCCATAACTCCACATTATCTCCACCTTTTTTTTTAGCAAGCAAACAATTCTGCTTTTATTGTCTAATGACGACAGTGAATTTTTTTTTTATTGTGCAATAAAAGTTTGCTTAATTGATGTCTCCAATATTACCAATAATAATAGTTTCGTGATTGTTGCCATTTATTTTTCTATTATTGAACATCTTGCTCCCATGCAATAAGATAGTGATAATGAGAAGTAAAAAACACAGCTTGGTCATTATTCCGTTAACACCTGCAAATAGGAAATAGCTCTATTTATCTTAAGGGTTGGCTAGTTTGTATTACAGTACCTGAATTAGCCATTTATATACTCCTTTTTAAGTTAATTTGCACCTTACAGTAATGTAATATACCATGGAATAAATCTTTTCAATCTTCCCTTAATTTTTTACTTTATCCTCTCTTTATCCTCGCTTTACTGGGATTTCAGTGTTATTTTACAATTATGAGGTATTACCTTAATTTCTTGAGACAATTACATACAGTATTAACATTTTTAGAAGTGCAATTCATACATTTTAAATACGCTTTTACTTTATTATTACTCCGAGTAGATAATTACTGTTCGTATAGTAAACTGATGAAGAACTGTATAGGTGTTTGTTGTCTGTAGTTTTCCCGCGCTTTTAAGTCCTCGCACAATCACACACAAACCTTGGAGAGGATAGGAGAGAATAACAATGTCTGTAAGTATTTATCCATGTGTGATTTTTGTTTTTTCAACTTGTGTATCTTTAAACTAGTGAATTTTATAAGATGAACTGGGTAATTGTTTAAAATGATCCCAGAAACCCCTCACAATCGTAGTCGAGTGTTGGGAAAGGGTATGTAGTTCCCGCATTGACATGGTATAGGCGTCTTTGTTCAATGATTAATTTCATTTTTATTATAATTATTGCTTAGTAATAAACTACTCTTCTTAATGTGAACCTATGCCTTTCTCGCCAATAAGGAGAGTTTGGAAGTGGTCACAGCTCAGTCCTTGGAAGTCAGACACTGGAAATAAGCATATAATGGCATTGTTGGCCTATCCTTGGTTGAATCTGCATGTTTTTCCATTGTGTTCATTATATTTTGAATTGTTTGTGTTGTATATTGTTTACCTCCATGGTTTATCTCCACTGTTTGTGTATATTGTATACCAGCACTATTTTTGCACATGCTGAATCAATGTGAACGTATATGCCGATTTTACTATTAAAAAACACTAAGTTGTGTTGTCACAAGAAAAACCATTCCGGATTGCAGTTCTGAGTTACTGATCGTAATTTTTATTTGTTACTTGAGCATGGTTTGTATTTTTTTAGTATATACATTGACAGGTTAGTATGCAATAGATTTAAAGAAAATGTTTGTTTCCTTCCAACATGACTGCCAAATCTACTACCAGCAACAGTTTCAATAGGTTATTCCTGAGAGACACTTACTGCTTCATTTCTTGCCAATTGATTAACATGGAGATAACAACATACATAGTGTATTAGCTTGCAATTTAAGAAGTTCTACATAATGATCATAGTATAACAGTTTATTATTTAAGTTTTATATGAGCAAGCAAGCACAACTCACTGCTGACAATGTTATATTTGCCCTTTAGGCTTCACTTACACATTAGTTGACGGCTTCCACTGAAAATTTCAAGTCTATCACCCAGATACGAAAAAATATATTTCTATAAGCAATTTCATCATTCATCAGAACATCATATATATATATATATATATATATATATATATATATATATATATATATATATATATATATATATATATATATATATATATATATATATATATATATTGTACACCTACTCACAGATGACCAACCAAAACTCACTGGATCAAGAACATATTATGTAGGCTTGAAACAATAACTATTTTCATTTAAGTTTTTATGATAAATACAGTACCTGTACATTGTAGTGGTTTATGAAAGTTTGGGGAAATGCAGAATTATTGAGTTGTGACCCTGTCTCTCCTGTCAATCTTGAACCCACCAAAAGTGGGCAGGGTTAAAAGGCAGAGGTAAATGTGGCATTAAAAACAAAAAATCTAATCAAACCTTATCTGGTAAGGTCATTGTACTCACCTACCTTTTAATTTTATCCTCTTTGCCTAGTACTTTGACAAGTACTGGTCAAGTCTGGCCTTGAATGAGTTCACATTCGGTGCCTTCACAGCACTCTGGTAGATTGTTCCAAGAGTTTACAATTCTCACAAACACTTTCATATAGTTTTGGCTTGTAACCTGACATTGGCATGTGATTAAAGAATTGTCAAATTTTTTGTATTTTGCCAAGTATAAAAAAATAGCAGAAACAATTGGAATGCTGTATAGTATTTAACATATTACAGTATACTGTACTCCACATTAAATCTTTTACAATGTACAGTCAGGCCATAAATTACTTTTTTCCCCTTGAATGTCTAACATTGTGACAAACCGGTGAAAAATTCCATATAAAACTTTCACATGCTGCTTCACATTGGTAGTCCTGCAACCAGTAACACCTTTTCTGTCACTTCATTATGCAATTTCCTTTTCTGTGCAATCCTGTGTTTCAAAATACAATTAGATTATTTAAAAAAAAGGATTAGAAATTGATGTCACAGCCACAATTACCTACCCTGTTGAGATGATAGGAGAGGAAGGATTAATTTTGAAAGCCATTGAACCAAAGGTAAGTGTACTTTATGGTCTGACTGTATTTTAAAATAACCATCAAAGTAACCTTGATACAGTGCAAAGAAATGTCTAGCACCCAGTTACCTGAAATTTGCTCTTAAAATTTTTTATTGTACATTTTCAAAATCCCTTAATTACTTACCTGTATTGCTACTTTTACAGGACCAGCCGACTTCTCCATCAGCTGCCATGAGCTCTCCGGAGCCCACCACTCCCAGCCGCTCCAGTGTGTCTGGTAGGCGTCGTCGGAGATCTTCACGTGGCTCAAATGTAGATCCAGTTACCTCCTCTCCTGGCCGTGACCTTCCTGCCTTTGAGGATGAAAGTGACCTGATAGGAAATGACCAGCCAGTGGAAGAAGAAGATGGAGAAGAACTGTTTGGTGATAATATGGAGAAGTGAGTATACAGTATAGTATAACTTCTTATGTGTTACTGGAGATGGAATTTTAATTCTCACTAGTTGGTGCATTCTTATCAAAGTACTGTACTGTACTATATCTGATCAGGAACAGCATAAGCTCCTCGTGGGTTAGTTCTGTAACCTTACTGTTTTGCCAGATTTCACCAAAATTATATATATATATATATATATATATATTATATATATATATATTTTTTTTTTTTTACTTCACTTCACTTACTGCAGATCACTGGAGTGTTGATTCATCTCTTAATTCATTTGCAGAATATTATAAACTTATAAAGAATAAATTTTATTGTAATGCACTTTATCTTTGCTTTTGTCTGTGTAAACATTATATTAAATTCTTGACAGTGACTACCGCCACATTCCTGAGTTGGATGTATATGACCGTGACAACCTTGATGATTCTGAGTATTCGATGTTGAGTGAAGGAGACCGTGTTGCTGCTGAAGCACAGATGAGGAAACGAGATCGTGAAGAAGACCGTGTCACTGGCCGAATGCGACGAGGCCTACTATATGGTTAGTTATTATGATTAATACAATTCTTGGCAAATAAATGCTCTTGTTATAATGACATTAAAGTTAATACTGTAATGGGCAATAGTACTACTGGGGTCTGATTTTTTCATTTACAATAGAGAGTATATTTGTAAGTAATGCATCCATATATTTTTTTTATTAAGTTGTGGTGTGCTTAACCTCTTCTTTATGGGACTCCACTTTCATTTGGCTAATGCCAGACAATTTTGTTCAGCACAGAGGGACACCCCATACACAAGTGTTTAATACCCAGTGATGTTATTCCATTAGTTTTCACTTGCTTATGATCCTTCATGTCCACTCGGTGAAACTACAAAACCCTTATGTCCAGATCTTCCATCACAAGATATCAGTATTTTATATTGATTGTATAATGCAGTAGAAATGTAAACTACAAACTGCTTGTTTTCCAGAAGAGAAGAGAAGTTGCAGCTAACACTCTCAAGGGACAAAGTAAAATCATAGTATTATCCCTCAGATTTTATTTTTATTTATTTTTTTTAAATCTTAGCTGATCACGTCTGTAAAAGCGATTGAAGAAAAGAAATGAAGGCATTGTTCCTCTAACCCCTTGAGTGCAGTGTCCCCTCTTAGCTGAATAAAATTGCATGGTGTTGGTGAAAAAAATAATTACTAAAAGATATCCCTGTAGTGAAGGGGGTTAATATTGGTTATCCTGCACTATCACATGAGAAACCTCATAAGAGCAGTATTTCATACACAACAGTAACCTCTATTATTTTAACATTACAGTTTAGTAACTTGTAACCGATATTTTTATTTGAATTCAAATTTATCTTTATTCACATTCCATTCCACTCCATGATGTTACAACTACTTAAGAGTGTAACTTTTCAAGATACTGTACTCATTTCATTGTTATAGTATTACTGTTATTTTATTGTTCATCACCTGACCATTACAGTTCTCTTTTACTATAATTATATTAATTTTATGATTCACATGTGTGTTTGGTACTGTTTCTTACTTGACACAAATAAAATGTCATTCAGATGAGAGTGATGACGAAGATGATCGTCCAGCAAGAAGGCGTCGCCTGGCAGAGAGAGCTGTAGAAGGAGATGCCCCTGAAGATGAAGAGGTCAGCAAATGTATAAGATGGTGTACCTGTACTTTAATATTGCTTGATGTTTATAATTATGTATTTTTAGTTGAAATTAAATTCTCTTTTAACCATTTGAATCTAGACAGTACCATTCATATAGTACAGGTTACTGTAATATATTTGAAACCTTATGGCTTATTATAAGGTTAGTAATATGTAATATACTTAAGTTCAGTATACTTCAGTTAATTTTATTTGCAGATGATTGAATCTATTGAGAACCTTGAAGATATGAAGGGACACAGTGTGCGTGAATGGGTATCCATGCTTGGGCCCAGGACTGAAATTTACAATCGTTTCAAGAATTTTCTTCGCACTTACGTAAATGACAAAGGCAATAACCTCTACAAGGATAAGATTCGTCAGATGTGTGAAGAAAATAAATCTTCTTTTGAAGTGGATTACAACATTATTGCCTCAGAAGAACAAGTTCTTGCATATTTCCTCCCTGAAGCCCCAACCGAGATGCTGGAGATCATGGACTCTGCTGCAAAAGATGTTACTCTTTCCATGTTTCCCCAGTATGAAAGGATTACCAAAGAAATTCATGTGAGAATTACAGATCTGCCACTAATAGAAGAATTGCGATCGCTCAGGTGTGTATAATTTTCTCCTGATATAATTGAAAAGCTATTTGCATTGTCTCACTGTTAGAATGGTTGTCATTGTGAAATTCATAGATGTTAAAATTTTGAACTCTCATTGATGAAATAACTTAATAGATTTGTGCAACTATAACTGCAAATTTGCATACTGTATTTTAAATTCTCATTCATATCTGAATACTGTATATTTGTTTACTTTACAGGCAACTTCATCTAAATCAACTTATTCGCACTTCTGGGGTAGTAACATCCACAACAGGCATCCTCCCTCAGCTTTCAATTGTCAAATATGATTGTAATAAGTGTTCATATGTACTAGGACCATTTGTTCAGTCACAGAACTCTGAACTAAGACCAGGATCTTGCCCAGAGTGTCAGAGTAAAGGTCCTTTCACAATTAATATGGAACAAACCGTATACCAAAACTACCAAAGAATCACACTTCAAGAGTCACCAGGCAAGGTTAGTTTATGGTACAGTATACTGTACACATTATTGGTAATTTATGTAGTATAATAGTAATTAATTTTTCCTTTTCCATATCCTCCCAAACTGCTGATAATAACTCCCTATTATTGGAATATAGTGGTTCCCACATGATATGCGAAGTTACAATGCTATAGACCTTTGGGCTGTAAAAATGCTTATTGGGATTTGGTTTTTGAGTTTTAAATTATTTTATTACATTATACAGGTATTTCAGGTAAACCCCCAAAATTATCGGTTTGCCACCTTTATTTGGATCGAGGAATTATATTGTGAGCAAGTCTAGAGGGTTGAATCCCAGTGGTTCTGATCTGTGTGACTGGTAAAAAAAAAAAGGATGCAAGTTTTCCTTCTCTTTTATACTGGATTTCAATAATCTTGAAACCAAGGAGATGGGGGAGATTTTGATGCCAAGCATAAACATGTACGGTATGCTCTAATCCACCTTTTGCTTGACTTATTTAGTTTGACATAAGTTTCCACTTGGCTTATTTCCCCAGCATTTTGTTCAGCTTACCTTTCACAAATTAATGTGTGGCAGAGAGGGATCTGGTCCACAACAAATGAGGGGATATTTTTGTTACTTGGGATGGAGTTGTTTGGTGTGGAATCTCAGAAAAAATTTCATAGCTTGTCCTACCTCTGGAGTCCCCCAAATTTGTGCTACAAGTTTATTACTTTCTGGGTTTATTATGTGCTGCTTAATTTAGTGGTTGAACATACTAGAATCCCTCGAAGGATTTAAAGCTAGCTACCTAGATTTGGGTTATTCAGTGGGAACAGTTACGTAGTTTTCATAGTGATTTGGTAGCAAAAACTCCTTCGTCTTCATCCTTTTTAGGGTACCTATATTGCCATGAATATTATTATGGAATCTGGTATGAAAGGTCTGTACTGTAATATAATATTCAGTTATTAGATCCTAGTTTATACGACCCCCAGGACATGCTGAATGTACTAGGTTGCTCAGCTGCAACTTGATTATTAAATAGAATCCCTAGATTAATTCATTGTTGCATTTGATAAGTTACCTAAACTTAAATAAAAAACCGAACACTATCTATCATAGAAATGTGAAACACTATAACATGAACAATACAGTACAGGTATACAGTTTACTAGTACAAAATTAAAACCCATATTACACCAAACAAGCATTAACAAGGGAACTGTTGTTTGACACAGGGTTTAAGATCCACATTTCCCATAATTTTGCTCAACTTTTTATTTTTATGTACCAGTAGTATACTTGTACAGTATAACCTTTTCTCATTAGATAGCAGCAGGTCGTCTTCCTCGCTCAAAGGACATTATCCTCTTGGGCGACCTTTGTGATTCATGCAAACCTGGAGATGATATAGAAGTGACTGGGGTTTACACAAATAACTATGATGGGTCACTCAACACAAATCAAGGTTTTCCAGTGTTTGCAACAATCATCATGGCAAATCATATTGCCAAGAAGGATAATGCCAATGCCATTAAAGGTTTGTTGAAATTGTATGTGTTAATTGGCTAAAACTAAAGTAGATTTTTTTTCTTACTTTTCCATGTCTTTATTTATTTTATTTTTTATATGAATATATTTGTTTTATCAGACAGCTCACATAAACTGTAAGGATGAGTTTTCAAACAGAAAAGTAGATAGCAAAAAAAATGCATTTGTACATGAAGTTGAATGTAATTTTAACGAAAAGTTGTGTACCTGGTGTGTTGGCTCGTGTTTTATTCAGTCATTACCTGCCTTTTACAGCTCTGACAGATGAGGACATTAAGGCTATTGTCAGCTTGAGCAAAGATGAGCGTATTGCTGAGAGAATTGTAGCCTCAATGGCTCCATCTATTTACGGTCATGAAGACATCAAAAGAGCCTTAGCACTTTCCCTTTTCGGTGGTGAAAGTAAAAATCCTGGTAAATATTATGTTTTTGAAATGCTGATTATATTAAGTTGTATTTGTATTCAAATTGATATAATGGAAAATTAATGTTTATTTATTCCTACAATATGTGCATCTTTCTACCTCTGTACCCTAATCAGCTGTTGTAATCATAAGCTGTACACAGTTATCCAGAGATACAAGTCTAATTTTCTCAGGTCACAATATTGCCAGTAAATATTGAATTGTTTTTTGGGATGATGATGTTGTTCGGTACTGATTTATGATGCTGGGTTTTGTGAATAAGATGAACATTATTGCAGTATGGGACTTCAAGCAGTTAGAGCAGATTGCAGCAACTGATGGGGAGAAAGTGTTTGCTTCTGTCTAGTTCCCTGCATGGTGGAAAAATGGTTGCAAGGTTGAAAAAGAAATGTATAGCACCAGAAATAGTCATGAATAGGACTCTCACTGTTACCATAGTGTAGTGTGTCTGCAACAGCATGCAATTTTCTTATTTTTGGATCCCTTCTAGATAGACACAGAAAGATGGTGATATTACTCTGGTAACACATTAAATGTTGCATTGAAAGAGACATTTACAGTATAAATGTTTTGATTACGTATAGGTTAGGGGCCAAAGGTCAGTATCAAAGGGTCTTATAAATTTAGTTTTTTGACAACTTTTGGACTTTGGCATTTTGCTGCACATTGATTTGGTTGATTAAGCAAAAAAAATTTTAGGGGGTCACAATTTTTCGGTTTCACTATGAGTGCACCTGTAGGGCCATGTGTATCTGTAATACCCCAATTTCCTCCCATCCTTTAATTTATCTAGGAATATATTCTTAATCTTATTTTCTTTATTTTGTCTGTTGCAGGAGAAAAGCATAAGGTTCGTGGGGACATCAATGTGCTGGCTTGTGGTGATCCAGGAACAGCCAAGTCTCAGTTCCTTAAATATATCGAGAAGATTGCACCACGTGCAGTCTTCACAACTGGTATGTTCATTGTATTATTAGGCCAAAATTATGGACAGTATTAGTTTGCTGATACATGTAGTATATTCAGGAGTATTTTTTTCTCTATAAAGCTAATAATTTAGATTTAAAATTGGTCGGAAGGTAAATTCAGGATTACTATTTAATGGCATGGTGTAAGTAGTTTCTGGGACCTTGCTATTTGTATACTCGTACCATAAAACATGGTGGGGGGAGGGGGGTGTAAAAGAGGTTCTCATTAAGCTGTACAGTAGGTAAAGAACTATCTATCTATGCATACTTTGCAGGAAACAAAACGAGACCATGGACCATAAATTTTGGTATATGAGGGCTGTCACTAATCACACGTAAAATTTCGGAGCATATCGACCCCCACCTGCACAGATAGTTGTTTTAGCTACTGTACATCCATAAATTATTTATTTTCTTAACTTGAAAAAGGCTGTACAGATGAATATGGATTGTCCCATGTAGTTCATATCATGAATATGTAGGCTGAGGTCTGCTGCTGCACCCCTCTTAAGATGTAAATTATGATTCATGCTATGTGATTGCATACAATATTATGTATTTATGGTGTTAATTAGCTTTGTATCCCAGGGCAGGGTGCTAGTGCTGTGGGTTTAACTGCCTATGTACAGCGGTCACCAGTCACTCGAGAATGGACATTGGAGGCAGGAGCACTTGTTTTGGCTGATAAAGGTGTCTGTCTCATTGATGAGTTTGATAAGGTTAGTTTATAAATATTTTAAGATTTTGTGATGTGGGGAGTAGTGTGTTTGAGAATGGCTACAATTAAAATACAGTAATTCATTGTACAAAGCTTTTGCCTTAATATTGTGACCCCATTGATTGATACTTTGATAGCTCTTTTAAAATGGTTTAATTCTATTCAAAAAAATTTTCTTCGTTCCGAGATATTTTTCCAGCTAAAATGTATTTTAGATTAAATTAACATTTATTGAACCTACTTCTATTTATACTGTACATAATTTACAAACATTATATTTTGGGTAAGTTTTGCAGGAGCACACTTAAGTTTGATGAAATTTTCAGATACTGGTTTTCTGTTATTAATTATACAAAATCCAATGCTAGTTTAATTAATTATAATAATCATTAGGAGATGGGCTACAAAAACAATTTAATATTCCTCATAGATGAATGATGCTGACCGCACCAGTATCCATGAAGCTATGGAACAACAGAGTATTTCCATCTCAAAGGCAGGCATTGTGACTTCCCTCCAAGCTCGTTGTGCTGTAATTGCAGCTGCTAACCCCATTGGGGGTAGATATGATCCTTCCATGACTTTTTCCGAGAATGTAAGTGTATAATTATTGTAATACAGTACTTGTTTATATGTATTTTGTTATACATGTATTTAGATTTATGCAGGGAATATCTTGCTTTGAAATTCATTGGAGATTTTTCCTTATTACATCTACAGGTTGATCTGTCAGAGCCCATTCTTTCCCGTTTTGATATTTTGTGTGTAGTGCGTGACACAGTTGATCCAGTACAAGATGAACACCTTGCACGGTTTGTTGTTGGATCACACATCCGCCATCACCCTGGAGCGACTGCTGCTGATGCTGCTGCTTTTACTATGGTAAATTTTTTTATGGTTGTACTATACAGTATATACTGTATATACACAGTGATCCCCGGTTAACGGGCGCCTCAGTTAACGAAATTTCGGATAACGAATTACCTTCCATAAGATTCTCCACTTCGGTTAACGAGCAAACCCTTACGAATTTTTCCCAACATGTTTTCGGCTGCCCACCAGCTCTAGTATTAGTCCGCCAATACAGTAATCGGTTTTAGGGCTTAAATTCCTTACCGTTTTAGTAAATATCAAGAAGGTTGTATTATTCAATAATTTTAAGTTTTATATTAAATTTTTTTGCCATTTTAACAATTATTGAACATAATTGAAGTACAGGAAACTAGTTTTTTTGCACGCCAAACAGCCACTCAACACACCAAGCTTGGCATCAGTTTGTTTACCAGTTCAGAGGAAGGAACATCTTATTTGAGACTCTTCAACATAAATGCTTTTTTTCTGTGTTTCCAGTCAAATTATTGGTCATTTTGAAATATATTTTACATATTGATAATTTATAGTGCAGTGTTGATTTAAAGAAAATAATCTTGAATTACACCAAGTGAACTAAAATTTTATGGGTGAAATGGCGGCATGGGGTGCCTTCTCTTCTCCCTTCTCCTCCACCCCCATTCTAATTCCCATCATCATCAACCAGGAGCCTTCTACATGCACACCTCAAAGTAAGTGTACTTTACTGCATTTATTTTTAGTTTGTATGTAATTTTTGGTGAGCTGGAACCATTTACCCAAAAACCCATTGAAACAATGGTTTCGGTTAACGAGCAACCTTCTGGAATGAATTGTGCTCGTTAACTGAGGAACCACTGTATACAGTACAGTACGCCCGGATAATTCGCGGAGTTTTATTTCACGGTCCTCTATTACACGCGGATGATACCCTGGATGTACCCAAGAATGTCTGCGGGTCGTTTAAAGTTGCTGGCATTTTTGCAGCAGGGACAGGAAGACATTCGTTCTACAGACAGTAATTTTCCTTTACCTGTATTGTATATGTGTGTGTGTGTAGTGTAGACACTACACACAAAACACATACAAAGAAATAATACCCTGTAATGGGAAAATCTTGCCACAAATAATCAGAAACAAATGTATATTAAAAATGTTGAGTATCCTTATTTCTACTCTGTGATGAGTCTACTGAGTGATGAAATAAACAGATTTGTTTATGGATTAGTATAGGTTGAGTTAATTATTGTGTTGTCGCAAACATTGAACTATTGTTTTGAGAAAATTTTGAAGGGGCTTAAATGTTAGTTACATAATTGTCAGTTTGGCCAGTGTCTGGTTTTTTATGAAACCCTTGTATGAAATTTGTTTTATGTTAAACAGGATGGACCAGTGATGGGAGGATCAAATCTTTCTGGTGTAGAGAAGATTCCACAAGACCTACTAAAGAAATACATTATCTATGGGCGAGAAAAAGTTCACCCCAAGTTACACCAGATGGACCAAGACAAAGTAGCCAAGATGTACTCTGAACTAAGACGAGAATCAATGGCTACTGGTATGTTTTGTTTTTTATATCAGTCTGAAAAGTACATTTATAGGTTGTACTGTAATAAGATTCAAGATTGTTTAGTTGAATACATAAGTCTAGTTACTACTGTATGATTGAAGAATTTCTTGGGAAGGAAAGAAAATAAATACAGTATATGAATTGGAATTCTTCATGGTAAAATATGAAAAATTTTACATATGCTTTTATAGTGCATTTTGTTCGGTGGAGATAAGTACTAACTGTTATTTTCCCTAACTGAACAGGAAGTATCCCAATCACTGTTCGCCACATTGAAAGTATGATCCGTATGGCAGAGGCTCACGCTCGCATGCATCTTCGTGAATATGTTCATGAAGATGATGTTAATATGGCTATCCGAGTTATGCTTGAATCTTTCATAGACACTCAGAAGTTCTCTGTTATGCGTGCCATGAAAAAGGTAAGTGTATATGAAATATATTACTTACACAGTACTGTATCTGATGAATGAAAAGATGTTTAGAGTAGAAACCATATTGATTCATAATCTAGAGAAATTTTATAAAACGGATTGGCTGTGGTGAACAGAACTCCAAAGTTGTCGGGAATATTATGGGAGATTGTTTTTGGCCAGGAAGACATTTAGATGGAAGATGTATCAGTTCTGTGGGAAATGTAATGATAAAACCTCCAAATTGTTAAGTTTAAGAATTACAGAAATGAATTCTATAAAGGGAGCATTTATTATGCAAGTACAGTACATTATGTTACAGTTTCAAGGGTGCTGTTTACCAAGAATTTGAATTGTCTATCAAATGTTCTCAAGTATATCTCAATTCCATTGAATTCACAGAAGTGTAGGAATCTTGGGAGAAGAGTTAGTGATTGGTAAAATGAGAAAATGTATGTTGAGTAAGGATTTTGAAAGATACAAAGAATTAAGTCTTTTCTAGAGGCTCAGCACATCAAAACCATGCAGTACAAAGTTATATTAAAGATTTGAATGAAAACAGTAAATATATTTTGACATGTACTAACAGCAGTCTGATGCCTTCCAGTTAGTTTAAAGTAATTTTGCATTAGTTTGAGTTGTAAATTAAGATCAATTCTTCAGAAGATTACACTACAGTACACACATTTTGACTAAGTTAGGATGTTGGTGATAAGGGCACTAATGGTGGCACTTTTATTGTAAATCGGGTTTGTTATAAATGAAACAGAGAAGAGTTGGTATGCACAGAATATCATAATACTGTAGAATATTCAGGTTTCTAAAACATGTTGGGTGTAGATTATGACTCCTGATGAATAACATAGTGCCTAAACTGGCATGAAAATATTGTTTCAAAGCAAACTTAAGATTTAGTTGTTGAGGAACCTGATGAGAGATTTGGTATTTAAAAAAGATGGAAGATATGTGTGGATTGAAAGTTTGTGAGAATTGTTTGGTGAAACATTGTGTCACAACAGTTTGTGTAATTTGTCTGAATATCATAGTAGGGGAATAATTCTGCCAAACAGTCTGGTGATATTAAGCCTGTAAAGTAGAAAGGTATGTTGATTGAAGCAATTTAGCATTTTTTGTAGTGGATGAACCATGGTTTCTGGTGTATATGTTAGTATCATCATCACTGAAAAGGTAATGGTTGGAGAAATGTACTCTGTTCAGGCAAGTCATAGCATATTTATCATGTTGTGAAAATGTATTGTCATGTATTAATGTGTTCTCTGTGATGTTGCAGAACTTTGTCAGATACCTGTCTTTCAAGCGAGACAACAATGAGCTTTTATTCTTCTTGCTGCGGCAACTGGTGCATGAGCAGACTACATATATGCACTCTCGTTATGGGCCTGACCATGATGTTGTACAAGTTTCTGAAAAGGATCTTCTTGATAGAGTAAGGAACACAATTGATTTTCCCTTTCTTACTGAAATATTAGCATAGGGAATTTAGTAATTCATTACCTTTCTGCTTATACTTAATTTCTTTTGTTAATGATTATGGTAATTCAGTATTCATGATGTCAATACTGTATAGTCTATAAAAATTCTTCAAAGATTTATGGGATTTCAGAAATAGACATCTTAAATTGGAAATAATCTTGGTTATATTCCCAATATTATTGTGTCCGGACACGATCCCTCTAAATTTTTTTTGAAAGAGGTTAAGGTGGGAGGTTGGAGTGAAACAGCCAAACGAGTAGATTTTTATGTAAATTTATGCACAGGTTTACCACATTGTGTAGAGTTGTGCATAACATTACAAAAAATCTTTGGCGGTTTCACTCTAATTTTCCTATCATTATCTTAACCTCTTTCAAATGCAGTAGCTACAAAACTATGCGGATTCTGACATTTTGTCATATTGACATGGTATTTAGAATTGTCCCAGAAGTACACCCTGAAATTTACTGTATGCAATTAAGAATCACCCTTTATATATATATATATGATAGCTTAAAGACATTGAGAACAGTCACTGAAATTATAAGCAATTAAATGAGTACAGTAATTGGTAATGTTGTCCACAGGCTCGTCAGATCAACATTATGAACCTCCAGCCATTCTTTGAAAGTGACATCTTCAAGGCCAATAACTTCACACATGATGCCAAAAGAAAGTTGATTGTCCAGGCATTCTAAAGAAAGAACCACCATTAAAAGTTTGTAAATTTTTTGGGGAGATTTTTTTTGTAAAGATATTCAAGTTAATTTTTAGTTCCAGCTGGTTTTATTGCATTAGAGATAATTACCAAGTCTTAATTCAGCTTAGACCTGTATACATCATCCCAGTGATGTTTTGTGTATAAGATTGGGGTGATCTTGGTAGAATTTATATACATTGAACCCTCAAAGATCCGGACTAAAGGGGGGGGGGGGGCACCTGTCCCGATAAACCGATGTCCAAACCTTCTGGCAAATGTACAAAATGCATAAAAATGATAAATAATTATAAAAAATACAGTACATATTATCCTGACTACTGGGGTTAGTTATACAGACTTTTTCCTGTGAAAAAGCCACAATTTTGAGCAACATATCACTGTACTCATTTGTACTACATTAAAGGAAAAAATTTTAATATATATTTTTGCAAAACATAATCAAATTATTTGTTATCTTGCAAGGATTCCAGCAGTGCAAATTATGTTCTGCTAAGTTTAGTCTGTGAAATTTTATAAGATAAAAACTTCAAGTCTAAAACTACCTTCACCCCTGGGAAGGGGGTTGGAGTGTTAAGGTATTGACCAGCCGGCAACGAAGGTTACCCAGTGCGTATTTATTTTTGTCATAAAGAGGGAATTTTAGTTTTTCGCTTAAAAAATGTCACTGAATTGATTTGGGAGAATATAACTTATATTGCTGGAATTCTTGTAAGATGATGATTAATTTGAATATAAACATGCTATAGTTTGCACTAGACATAACATTCTAGTAATTATTTAGTACATTTAATTAAAGTACAGGTTTGCCCTTAGGTCAATTATTTCTTTTACTTTTTTGCAATATGGATTTAGGATGGTGTGTGCATGTAAATGAGTAAAAATAAATTAAGAAAGTTATGTATACCCAAAAATACACATTGAAAAACTTGGACTAAAGTTTTTATATCTTGTTCAAAATATATGATGTCTATACAGGTATTCAAATTATGTGCTGTCTTGCGAGGATTCCTGCAATGCAAGCTAAATTCTGTTAATTTTAGTCTGACATTTTATAAGATGAAAACTTTAAGCCCAAAAACTACCTTCACCCTGTTTTGGGAATGCTTCTTAACCCAGAACCCCCAATTTTTTTTGTCCAAATCTTCCAAAATTTGGTTTTACCGGGTCCGAATCTCTGAGGGTTTACTGTACAGTATTTCAATTACAAAACAAAACTTTTAAGTACCTGTTAGTATTACATGATTTTGCTGTATTGAGTAGCCTTGCATGTTGACCAGCTCAATGAAAGCCGAGTTGAACAAACTCGTGCAACAAAATTTTCTATTTGGAAAAATTAACCATAGTGACAGATATGTTAATGGGTCAGTGCTCCAATAGATTTGCATTTTTTTTTATCCAGATTGGAAAGCTAATAACCTCTTAAAAATGAAATTATAAAATATATAGGAATTGCCACCTGTCAGGAACAACTTGTGTGTATGCCCACCACAGCTTCTTGGCTCCGGTTCTTTAGCAACTGTAGCTTCTTTGGAGTAGCCCAAACAATAATAAGTTTTGGTTTCCACACCAGTGTGTGTTCGGCTGACATTCACAAGTCGTTCTATCCAGGATTGGTTATAAAATGGTCATTTAGGATCAAACCCACAATTAGAATATAGGGTAAGAGAAACTTATATAGAAACACCTCACTGTATTTCCAACAACTTTAATAAATAAAAAAAAATATTTTTGAATACTGTTGTGTCTCAAAGGTTCCTGTTTAGATGTAATTTTTTTTGTTACTGTACTATGTTCAAAGGGAAACAAAATACATCTACAACTATATCTCTATGTATCAATTAGTGATGTAGAGTCACAGGCCTAATTTTCAAATCTCAATTTTTTTTTGTTCCAGAGTACAAATTTATTTACTATTAATTTTTAAATCAGCTGGAAGGATGTTGTCAAGTGCACAAGTTTGGGTTTGGGTAGGGAGAGAGATCCCCCACCTCAGGTCACTAACTGGACCACTAATGCACTGCAGTAAGTTCTCACTTAACGTCGGGGTTATGTTCCTAAAAACGCGACATTATACGAAACAACGTTAAGCAGATCAATTTGGTTAAATTACATATTTTCGAGTTCCAAAGTCAGTACACAGACAAAATTTTCATCTGTAATTCACTTTAAAATGGCTGACAAACTTAAAAGTGAGTGTTTTGTGGTGATGAGAAGAAAAAGAGACACCCATTTTCAATTTTCTATGTATTGTTCAAGCATTTCCGACTTTGATGTCGGTCTCTAACCCCTTCGTAAGTTGGGGAGTAGCTGTATAAGAAAAAAAATCAATCACATACTGTATACAGTATATCTGTAATAAAAATAGCATATTACTGTACTACTTTTAATCCATAAAAGTCCCAAAATATTAACATCAAATCACCTGAATACTCCCTAAGCTATCACAGTTCTAGAGTCAATGAGAATTATAACTACCAAGCAGGGTGTTCCTAAAGCTATGGTCACACTAGAGTTTTACGTGCAATAAATCCACGATAGGATTTCATCCATAGGCAGTAAGTCAATGGTATGATCTGCACACTGGCTAAAGGAACCATTGGCCAGGCGCCCAACACATGTGGCTAGTTCGAGCTCAGTTGGAGAGCAGGATGGCTTCATTGTATGTTTCTATGGCAGCATTAACCGCTTTAGTGGGGTGTGGGTGGTCCTGTTAAAGAAGATCAAGATGAAAAGAAACGATTGTTGCATCTAAGCAAGTACCCTAAGAGCCAAATGAAATTTCCATCGTGAAGCATTCTTGTTATTTTTTGTTTACCATTAAATTTTTTGTTCGTATATTGTTATTAAAATGCACTTTTTGTAGATTTTAGCAATAAGAAAAAATAAAAACGGTGTAAATTTTATTAATACAATAGACTACAGCAAATTTCAACCCACCAAACCATGGATTTTCAGACACTCCGTATCGTCCCACTTTCAACAACAAATAAGTTGTTGCTGTAGGGACAACTTGAGAAGTTCGTTTAAAAATCAATTCTACAGTGGATTTATTCTGGATAGAAACTCTAGTGTGACCTCAGCTTTAGTGGCCAGAAGTTGGTTCACTTACCCGACCATCAAGAACTAATTAGCTATACAGTACAGCCAAAACTGTTAACAAATAAAAATAACAACAAAATCATATAAAAATAATTACTTTCAATAACCCCTCGTTATACGATCTACAGTGCAGACAGTAAGTCACGAACCCTTTATTTTATTTATTTTTTACTTAATTTCTGAAAGATTGGGTATGACCCCATATCTTAGTAGCGATCCCAACAATACTGACTTATTGATTGCTCTGACCCACCCAGAATATTTATAAAGAGCACTTATCATTTCTTGGAGTATTTATGAACAGCTTCAACAAATGCTGCTAAATGCTCTGGATCCATATCTGGGTACATTCCATGCCCAAGATTGGCAATGTAGCGATCACGACCAAACTTCTGTATCATCTCTTTCACAGCACCATCAATAGATTTCTGGAAAATAATAGAGCTCTTTTCAATGAAAACTTGCAACAATCTAAATAATCAAACAAAACATATACAGTACCACAGGGATGGTCAAAATACACACTGAAGATATTTCCTACTTAAAATTGAATGGAACAACATTAATAAATGGAAAAGTAAACAGATTAAGATTATAACAAAATACCATAGAGCTGAAGGTCTCCTTTTTGTACTGTATGACAGAATTATTGAGTTAGCTCATGTATAAAAGAATAATATTGAACATCTTTTTTAATTTCTGGGTACCAATGTGGCTCAAAAGTCGGTGAAATTATAGCAACAATAGTTGTAGAATACAATCCCCAGGTAAAGCATTAGGGTGTTCCTGGGTTTGTTAATTGTATTAAGCTGAAATTTGAGTTTTTATGCCCTTACCTTTTTCCTAGTTTCTTCGCATAGTTTTTTCTTCAAATTTCAAAACTTCACTGCTTGATATCCTAAAATTTGGCAACTATTTCACTTGTCTTTAGCGAACACAATACATAGAAAAACTGTTGGATATCTGACAAGAAAATTGATGACAGAGAAGCCACAATGCCCATTGTAAGATTCTAAGTGCAATGAATCCCTGCAAAAAGTAGTAGCTCCACAATCACAGGAAAATGCAAAAAAAGTAACTAATTAGTAATAGAAATGTCAATTTTTCATGGGTCTAGGGCATTCATTCCCCCTGAAGATACATATATTTTTTTACTCCAGATCCTTTATCATCATGTTGAAGAGAAGCTATACTGAAATTTGGAGGAGAAAAAATACAGGTAAACCTTGATAAATGATGGGGTTAGGTTCATGAAAAACCCATCGCTAGATGAATTATCGTTGAGAGGGAGCATTATAACATGGAGTTCAATGGGATATGTTCCCAGCCAGTCCCCAAACACACGTGTATAACCGACAAAACAATTCCTACAATACTATCATTACAAAACAAACACTAATCACATCCTGAAGAAGAAGCCTGATCAACATTACATGTCCCCTTCGAGGCTAAAGGGATTCTTGTAGGTGGAGTGGAGATGTCTCTGACTCCCACACAACCTCTGGAGAGTCTCATACTACTTCACAATGTCGAGCTTCACCTCAGAGACACGGTTGTCTTGGATGCCTTGGCCTTCCCAGACATTTTCAAAGTTACACTGCTCACTTCACAATCACAAAAACAGAGCGAACAATAACAAAAACAATGATAGCAGCTGACACTGCTCACATTTTCAAAACAGTTGATGCACCTGAGTCACAAAAACACAGAAATATCACTTCACAGTCACCATAACACAGTTCAACCTAAATGTTAGTGCTGTTGTCACTATATATAAAAAAAGAAAGAAAAAACACCCATGATCAGTACAATGTACGATGCTGGCTGATAATCGTGGAATCATGCGATGGCAGGTTTACAATCGACAAAGAATCAAACGGCTGTAGAGCACAGGTTGACCGTGTAGCGGAGCGCAGGTAGGCTTACAGTGAAGGCAGAGATGCATCGTACATAGGGTTAAATATTGTTTCCTTATAAAATTTCACTGACTTGATGTAGAAAAATATAATCTGCCTTGGCGGAATCCCTGTAGGACAGTGATTAATTGAAGTATATACAACTCATAGTTTGCATTAGATAAAAAAAATCCAACCAATGGATATTGATGGCTATGCGATGGATATTGTTGAAGCCAATTTTTTTTATCGTATATAGTGAGATGGTCTTAGTTTACAACCACTGTTAAAGCGAAATTTCACTGAACAGGATATCATATATCAGGTTTACCTGTATGCAGGTGGAAAAACTTTTGGGTGTTGTTTTTTGGTATTCTGCAATTTGACGCTACGGTACTCAACAAGTTGCGTTAATTTTCAATTCCAGGACAATGTATTTTCATACCGAAAAGCCCCATGTCATTTTTTAATTCTTTTAGACTTTTTCTTTCGAAATACTAAAACAAGCCTCCTTCAATTTACATCCGGGTTACATTCCTGAAAAGTCAAATGTAAAAAAAAAAATCCTACTGTACTAAATCCTAACTGGATGTCTGTAAATTCAGGAATACCTATTTATTCATACTAAAATGCCCCTATTGTATGACAATGTTAACATTCATACATATCCTCCAAATGTTCTTGTCAGACTGAAGGGTCCCTCAAACTATTATTGTAAAAAATAGAAAATAGGTCATGTGTCTGCTGCTTCAGCTACTTGAATTACCCTTCTTTAACTCGGCATAATAGCACATGAATTTGTTTAAAGTTTACTGCCAGCATAACAGGATTCTAACTGAAATGTAACATCAGCAAGCCTCCTTGATTTTGAGTCCATAACAATACCAAACTGAGAACTAACCTTATCTGCATAAAGAGCACAAGGATCCAAGTTCCCTTGAAGAGTTTTATTTGGGCCAACAATTTGTCGAGCTAAGATGGGATCCACTGTCCAATCAATACCAATAACTTCATAATTCAATGCAGCAAGATCCTTTAGGGCAAAATGACCACCCTTTGGGAACACTATCTGGAAATAAAATTATATTTGGATGACTTATGAAAATGTTTCTTCATTATAAGAATTTTTTTTACATAAATTTAGGTAAACTGCCCAGCATAAGGAAAAAATGAAAGGGATCCACTGGCTGTCCAGTTAAGAGTGCATAATCTGGATTGTAGGATATCAAATAGAATTTTTTTTTATTGTACTACTTAAAAGGGGGTAGGAGAAAATCAAAAGTTCTAGAATGGTTATGCAAAATCTATGAATGTTTTGGCCAGCTGTTTGGTGTTTCCACCTTCTGTTTTACATTTTAAGGCATAACTTTATCAACCAATTTTTAAATTAATAACAGAATATCATGTAAAATCTATGAAAATGCTCTGATAAAAGCCAAAAAACTACATAAAGTGGTGTCTGTCTTCCATAAGAAAGAGTAAGAGGCACCATTACCAATTTGGCGATTGTCACCAAATTTGGAAACTTACCACCCCTCTAGTGACAGTTTACGCTCATCAATAAGTAAAATTCCAAGTAATTTCTTTGTAAACTCTCCAATTTCATTACAATATATTTTTTATATACACCCTACAATATTTGTCTGAAATTTGGTGACACAGAAGTCTAGTATTACAGTAGTTTCCAAACTTGTTTAGCAATACTGGAATATAGGCCAAGCTGGCCTTCACATCTGATTTGAAGCTAATTACTCACCATAGGAATATTTTTCAAGCCAAGCTGTGATACACGTTCTTTAACTTCATCACAAATTTGCTTCAAGCATGGTAATGCAAAGTTTCGAAACAAATCTGGTCCTAGATGTTCTGCATGTGACTCAAACACTTGTAGTATCTGTAATATGAAACTTGTTACAAGAAGTATAGCATAAAAGTTTTACATACCAATTAGAATTAATTGTTTAATTTAAATATACTAATTAAAGAAACTGATAATTTTTATAACCTCTGTGAGAATAAATGGTTAGGAAAGTCAGGAATTTGAAGTGATATAAAGGGTCCATCAGGGGCCTGTCTTTGGCCCCATTCTGTTTATTCTGGTACTGGAAGCAATATCGAGGGGCTTTAGGATTGGTCTACCCCGGGAGTTGTTATATGATGATGACGTAGTGCTGAAGGCAGATTGAAGAGGCGATAGAGAAATATAAGAAATAGAATAGAGTCAAAGGGCCTGAAAGTGAGTGGGATGAAAACAAAAGTATTGATTAATGGTATGGATGAGGAAGTGGAAAATGGCCATGTATGGTGTGTCAGAAAATGGTTAGCAGCAACCCAATATAATGTGCAATGAGTGTGGAAGTTGAGTATACAAGAAGAACAGTAGAGTATAAGACAAAATACAGGATGTTGCTAATTTTAAGTGTCCTGTACATGCAGGTAACTCTGTGTTCACACCAAGACTGGAGAAACTCAACATTTGGGATATGTTCCTGGACTGTGTTGATGAGTTCTGCTATCTGGTTGCCATAATCAGATACCAGTGGGGGTGCTAAAGCCTGCTAAGCTGCAAGATTAAAAAATACCTGGAGAAAGTTTAGGAAATTGATGCCTTTATTGACAGCAAAAGGACCTCTACATGAAAGGAAGGATGTATGTAGCTTATGTGAGAAGTATGATGTATGGAAGTTAATCATAGGCAGTTAAAGTGGATGACATATGCAAGCTTCAGCAAGCTTTAGTGAGAATGGTAAAGTGGATATGCAATGTGCAATTGAAAGACAGAAGGCCCAGTTCAGACCAAAGAGGGTGGCTGGGTACTGGTAGTACAGTATTGCTGACGTTCTGTATAGAGGCAGGCTGAGATGGTTTGGGCATGTGGAGATATTGGATGAGACCAACTAGGTCAAGAGGGGCATGAGCCAAAATGTGGAGGGGAGGAGAGCCAGGAGTAGGCCAAAAATCACATGGGGAGAAGTTGTAAGAAACAAAATTAGTAAAAAACCTGACAAGAGAGATAGCAAGAGACTGTGCAGCATGGGGAGCTGCCATCAAATGATCCTGGTTAACCCATGCAAGCATGGAAAATAGTTGTAAAAAATTTATGATAATAATTATGACTTCCAATATTTTGTTTGATCTTGCTAAAAAATATAAAAGCATTTCCACACTAAGAACTTTTAGGTCTTAAGATTAAGAAAGATATAACATGAGTTGTAATACACATGTTTCTCACCTGAGCTCCAGCCTTTGCCTGGCCAACAAGATAATTAACTGTTGCATCTGTAATTATTTTCAGAAGTTGGTGGCTCGCTTCTGGATACTTGTACAACCAACCTTTAGCATTACTCATGGTTTTAGAACCCTTACCCTCAATCATGTATGCCATTATTGTCCACTGGAAGAAGAAAACAATAGTGATCAAGGTTTCATTCATGCGGGTGATAAAAACATGGATCTTCTCATTTTTCATCAGAAATTTCAAATTTGATTTTTTAAAGTAAAATATCTACAAAATCAAAAGATATATGTTCTCTTCAATCAGTTATGGTTCTACTGCACAGCAATCTCAACCGTTACCCGAATTGGTACAAAGTGGTTCCAGGTATTGTACCCAGATAAATTGTCTCATCCCTGGAATTTTTTTTTTTTTGTGAAAATGTTCGCTGGACAATAGTGATATTGTTATTCTCACTTTTAAGTAGGGTAGACTCCATGATATACTCTTTAGGTGTTCCCAAATACTCAGTCATGGCTGAAGAATAAAATCCTCGGCAAATAAGACCAACAGAAACACCGAGGAAAATCTAATTTATTTACATATACAGTAGGCCCTTCAAATTCGCAGGGGTTAGTTTCTCAAAATGGCTGCAAATCGCCAAATCCACGAATAACATTTGCGATGAGTGTTAATTCACTTCCACTTGTCTTATATTACAGGTATTAAGGATGAATATCAAAATTGTCTTGAATTGCAAATGTAATATGAGTAAAATAATATAGCTAACTAAAATATAATGCATTAATATACAAATGCTATACAAGAGAAATACCTGGTAGGACATAAGTTACCAAGAATAATAAAATGCAACCAAGAAATGAAAATCACAAGTACTGTACTGTAAAGTATCTGATTTTCATACAAACTTATACAGTACTGTACTCTGAGGTGGACTTCCATTAACGGGATGATTATCTGGCTAATAAGAAAATTTTATTGTGACAATCTTCATATATCTATAGACCAAATTGCCAAGCACCAAGCCATTAATTTTTTTTATTATTTGACCTTGCTAATTCAAGAACCCATATTTCAATAATAAAAAAACTCAGTCAACATTAATTCAACAGTGTTCACAATAAGTTACATTACACATTTAAGAAACTGCTTCAATTCAATACTAGGAAACAGATTAAGAATCAAGAAAGTCAATGACCAAGATACAGTAGACCATCTTACTATGTTTCAACAAGTAATGAATTACTTTGGGACTTCTAAAGGTTATCAGTCAAAACAATATGCAATAAATTTTCTGGCCCTATTGTCAATGCAACTAAAAGGCAAAATTCATAAATTCCACAAATCTTAAAACAATTTGCTCAGTTAGGCAGGTCAAATTTATCCAATGAGAATGAGTATGGGCTAAGAAGAAAATCCTTGGAGTCAAGCCATGTGACTATTTTTCTATAAATATAATTTATATATTTATGGCTCCACATCTACACCCTATCTGCACATTATTAAACTCTCACTTATACATATGAATCAGGAAAAAAAACTTGTGACTCTTACCGGTGCACCACTGAAGCCTATAAGAGGTGCTTTTCCCTGAAGTTCCTTACGAGTGAGTGTAAGAGCATCAAACACATACTCAAGTTTTGAACATACATCTGCTGGTGACGCTAGTTTGGTCAGATCTTCAGGTCCACGAAGAGGGGAAGGAAAGACAGGACCCTGATCATTGGAGAAATGTTCACATTTAATAAAATTTTCACATGACACCATTATGTCAAGTTATTCATTTTCAAAGTCTCAGAAAATACTGCTCATTTTTAGATAATCAGATCAAACAAACTTATAAGAGTCAACTCTTTTTGGAAATTGCATGACTGTAAAACTATCAAATTTGTTAATAAAATGCAAAATCCACCAACTGGGAAATTCATGGAGGTACACACACCTCTGACTATACAGCACTTGTGTGTAAAAAAAAAAAAAAAAAAAACAGTAATTCAAGGTGTAGCCACAAAATCAATATCTAGTCAAATAAAGTACAATATTGTGGACAATAATTTTCTGAAAAGACTTGGATTTATCATCACCATCATTAAAATAAGGAGATAATTTAATTATAATCACAGCAATCAGCTCACACAGTGGAAACTGAAGTTCAGTAATAAAAAAATTAATAATGATAACCCCATGGCTGTATCACAAAACATACAACAATGTGTGGCAAAATAAAAATGTAATTAGGCCTCCTGACCCAACGGTTGCTCGTTTGAATGTTGTGGTGGGCCACTGAGTGGGCAAGCCCAAGCTGAAGAATAGGTACCAAACTTTACAGTTAGGAAAGTGAAAAAAAGGTTGAGTACAGTGCTGGTCTCATTGTCTCCTTGTGTACCTCAAGTTTTGTCCTCACTGTGCTGTATTTATTATGCCTCTCATGGGCTATCAGGCCTTTGGAACCCACTTTAACTTTTTCAGATCAATGTGGGGGCCTCCAGGGGATGATATATAAGGCATAATGAGGTTAATGACCTCATCTGGAGGTGCATACCCATCATAGACTACACAACACACAGGGAACCACAGACCCACAAATCAAACAACAAGCACCCAGACAATCATACAAATGTCCTGGAAGGATGATAAACAGCCATTATGGGACTAAATATAAGGTTTCACCCTGATGCCTACTGGTACCTATCTCTTCCATACTGCAGCTGGGAAAGCGAGGGAATCAAACTTAAGGGAACACCAAGAGGTAGCGAAGTAATAGACCCTGAGCCACAAATATTGCTTGTGACATTCTAGTTTAAAAATCATTATTTTTGTAAGTCTTGTAACAAATAGGTAGGCATACATGAACAAATTACAATATTAATAACTAATGATAATAAAAGGATGTGGAAGGAGAAAAAAATATATATACTCTACTTATATTTCAGATAAATTATCCCAACTGTCAATGAATAATCCTCACTTCTCTGAGTTGATGAGCATCCAACAAAATACCAACCAGAAGTGATACCAATCATAGCTAATATACAGTATGAGCAAAAAAACTAAATCACCAACTAAAATGCAAAACTTAATCATTAAAATGTTAAACATTGCATCAAAACCAAACTATGAAACACAGATGACACTTACTTCCCCAGGTCGCATCTCCACTTCCATGCCTAATGCTTGTGGGATTACTAGGATATCAGAAAAGATAATTGCAGCATCCAGGGGGAACCTATTTAATGGCTGGAGAGTAACTTTACATGACAATTCAGGTGTCTGGCACATTGTGAAGAAGTCACACTTTGCACGCTCTTCTCGAAATTCTGAAAAATTAAATACAGTACTGTAATGGACACTACCACTTTCTCCTGCACTCCTATAAGCACAAAAAGTGTTATGTAAATAAAATTAACATTTTCTCATTGATATTTCAAATTATATACATATAATATATATATTTTTTTATGGGATTAGCCCACCAGGGCACAAGTCAACGACCCACATCAGGACCGGGGGGCAAAAATATAATAATAAAAAAAAAAATTAATAAAAAGTCAAAATACAATACAACAACAACAACAACAACAACAATAATAATAATAATAATAATGATAATATCAACAACAATAATAAGGGATAAATAAATAAAAAAATTAAAAAAAGATCAATAGTGAGAAATTATATACTGTATGCATGTTGTGTTGTTAAAGTAAGAGAAACAATTGAAACCCTGCAATTGTGTGTAAATGAGGCAGAAAGTCAGGTCAGCAACCTGGGACTTGGTAAAAAATTTTGTGATGCCATATGGCAGCAGGGTCTACCATTAGACATTACATTATGCTTCCAATATCTTCCCAGGCGGTAGTACCTCCCTGTTTGGTAGCTGCCTACTATCTCAAACTGATACGTTTAAGTTGAGTGCACTTGACATAATATTAACTACCAGTCTTGGAATGACAGCATTGTTTAAAAAAATTGGGATCACATGAAGATTAGACACCCTAGCATATTTTAATTAACTATGAACCATCTTAATTAAAGCTACCTGGGGACTGAAGTTAGATTTGATAAGTTTAGTGTTAGGATGCTTTAATTATCAGGTGAAATAAGCTGGGGTGTCTAACCTTCAAGTGATACATACAGTAATAAGTAAATCCTGCACATCTTTAACAAACAAACTAACAGGTGCTGAAGGAAACAATCTAACCCACATAGATGCACCAGACTTATAGTATAAACTAAAGGACCATTTAACTTTAAAATCAATCCCATCACTCAAGAAGATAAACTAAAAGCATTATCTAAAATTGTCAATGCAACACCCAACTGATCATTGTCAAACTACTAATACAGGAATAAAGTCTTAAAGAATTGCTTTCAATGAGGACGAATTCATAAACTATAAATAAAAGATAACTGTTTTCTCTTGGCTTGGCCGGAAAAATCCACTCATCCACGGTAAGTAAAAATTGCCTGGCTGGCAACAAACCAAGATTTTTCTGAACATTCCCCACATAGGGTAAATAGAGTATGATTGTACACCTGTCAAAACTCAACTAGTTCTGGAAAATGGTTAAAAATGTACCAGTAAATTTTCATCTGAACTGATATCTTGCATATGCGTGAATGATTTAATGCTGATGCCACACACTTTTCCTTTAACTGTTTACCATTTGGCGATATTAAGACCATCGCCTTGCAGTGTCTTGAACGCATGCACATTGCATCATTACAAGGCTTGCCTATTCTGCGATTACTACTTAATAATAATTTCAATCACACTGAAGAATAAAGTTTTGTGAGGCTCTCTAGTAAAAGTCATTAATTGAAGGATATTTGCATAATAATTCATCCTAAATTGTATTTACCGATATATATATACAGGGAAAAATATGTTAACCAATCACAATCGCTGTTACAAATGGACGAGTTCATTCATAAAATTTCACACCTTACTATGAACGGATTGCCAAGTACCACCAGCCAGTCACTGGGCGTGTAGGAAGTTGATTTTTCCCCAACTGTTCATCAAATATCTGTATGTCTGTATGCAGTACATGCCAGACCAATTGTAAACATGTATGACAATTGTACTGAATTTGTTTTAAATATTAATACCGTACTATGTATACAGTAATATATCCGTTAGCTGGAATCCCTCAAACCCAAAACTCTCCGATAGACGGAATTTAAATTTTCTGAAGGGCACATTTTCCCGATACCTGAAAAATGTTGGAAAATTCCGGATGGGAGAGTTTTTCAGACTTTGAAAGATGAAAATCAAGCGCATTTTCAGGAAATTCCGAGAACATTTTTCTGGTACCCGAAAAATTTCGGGTATGCGGGATACTTTTCCAGGTTCGAGAGATGATATAATGGGCAATTTCTGGAACTTCAGAGAAAATTTTTCCGTTACCCAGCAATATCTCATTCCCGGAAGTGCTCTGCACCAATTGTTCCAGCTAACGGAGATATCACTATTATTTCTACTACTCTACAATAGTCACAAAATACCTTCTGGTGTTCCTAATGACTTTAAATATAAAATTTCACCAAGTTGTAACTTACCTGGAAGGTATCGTCCAGCTTGTCTCATTGCCCACACAGGAACCACATCAACCTCTTCTCCCCGTGCTGCTCGCAGTAGTCTGTCATTCTTCATGGCAGGAAATTCATTCTAAAATAAAATATAATTTGTGAATTTTACAATTACAGTACTGTACAATATTAGTGATGAGTGAAGAAAAATGAATGCAGCACTGCACGTACTTAAAATTAGTTATTTTAGCAGGAATGGAAAATTGAGTACCATATGGTGCTGATAAATTTGAATAATGTACTGTACTATATATGGTACAGTATGCTATGTGGACTGTTCTATAAATAAGAACACAATCCCAAAAGCTTAGAGGTGCCACTTTTGTGAAAATATTACTATGGGTAAATAAACATACAGTCCGTGGAGTTAATAATGCTTTGTTTTCTTTGTGATTTCACTAAAATTTCCATGTGTATGAAAAGGATGCTGGGAAGTATTCATGTGTATGAATCATTGGTTATGTAAAACAGTTGCTCCCAAATTTTTCAACTTCACAGAGCAGCAGTGAAAAAATAAATAAATCCATATTCAATAGACCCTCAGTATTTCATGAGACTGGAACCAATATTTAAAGCAAAATGTTGTTTTCACAATATCCTTCTAAAATTAAGAAGATGGGGTATTTTGCAGTAGTTCACACAACTTTCCTACTCCAAATCTATTATCATATTCGACAAAGACGTCTAATTTTAAGATAATTTTCTTCTATTACATTACCGTCGCAAACATATGATAACGGAGATAGTGCATGCCAAATCTTTCTCTATTTTCTTCCATTAATCTTCTGCCATATTCGCCTACCCGACCTCCCACTCAGCGTGTCTCCTTCATAAATCTTCATGCGCATGCGTTCCCGTACACATCACGCAGCCAATCAAAAGTGTTTTTTGCCACCAATTAAAATTAATTGTGGTTTAATTCGCGGAATTTTTATATTTAGAAATTCAAATTCATTTCCGACCATTGAAGTCTGCAATAGGTGTCACTTCAATTATATGGAGTTACTTGTGCGTTTTGGGAAAAAAAAAAAAAAAACGAACAAGCTATATAGCATTTTTTAGATCTCATGGTGTTCTCCCGATCTCATTAAAGTGTCAAGACCAACATAGTTGGCATCAGCGTCAGCCACCTGTACTGATCTCAGAATCCGACGACGAACCAGAATCAGGCCAATAAGGTAAGAAAAAAGTGACTCCATCATAGGGTGAGAGTTAGGTTTGGTTATTTTAGGTCATCCAAAAAAAGGATTCGGTTCATATGTTTTTCTAGTGTTTTTGGTGTATTTTGTATTCGCTTGGCCATGAATTTTGTCGGAAATCAAAATACACAAAAATACACTAGAAAAAAAACATAGCTTTGACTTTCTAACAGAGTTGTGTGAACTGCAGTATTACCCCGCTTTACGATTTTTTTTTTACGTGTTTCCAAGTTTACGCGGTACCCTGCCAGACCCGGAATGTTCACTTTAAGCGGTGCATGTACTCTTTTACGCAGAGAGCGGCTGAGGGTCATGTCGCGCCGCGCCATTTTTGGATTCAAACCTCCTGCCATCTCTCCCGCCATGTTGGGTAAGCGGCGCGAGTAGGTTGCGCAGTGTATGTCTTTGTTGCGTTATCGGTGACGTCATATGACGTATCGGACTGTGATTGGGCCAAGCATCCTTACCTCCCTCCCCCGCTAGCTGTGATTGGTTTAATATAATATGACATGCCCCGCCGCGGGAGCGATGAAGCCCGTTGACCTACCCTCGTCAGTTACACCCCTCCCGGCTACACCGTGTATATCGGTATCTATTGTTCCATAAGAATGGCTGCCACCGGACTACCACCACCACCACCACCACAAAGAAACCTTGCATTACCTGGACCTAGTCGCCCTAAGCCAAAGAAGATACGACGTGCCCTAAGCTACGAAATTAAATACAAGATTATCCAAGAGTTGGAGAAAGGAACAAGACAGGTTGATTTGGAGCGCCAGCATGGTGTGAACGAATCTACAATCAGGACATTCAAGAAGGATGCAGCCAAGATAAAAGAACACATGAACATCACAAAGTCTACAGGTGCTTCTATGATCAAGTATTGCCACAACAAGGTGCTTCTCAAGACGGAGAAATTACTTGTGAGCTACCTAACCTAACCTAACCTAACCTAACACAACTCTGATTAAATTAAGTTTACCAATTTTTTGTGACTTCGTGATACCAAATACTAGTCAAGAAGTGATTGGCAGTCCGATTTATTCATGTAGGACCATTATTTGACTTCATTGCGGCTACATTTGGGTAATTAGTCGGACCGGTAGTTGGGGTTGAAACTGCAAATTTATCAAAGAACAATGCTATTACTTACTTCTTCAGCCATAATGAGCGGATTGAAGATATTCAGCAACAACTAATAACAGCAACTGGAAGCTGGGGAAATCTTGTATGACAGTGCCTTAACAATGCCAGTCACGGCCTCGGTGAGATACGGTGGCTGCTGCAGTAGAAGTAAGTCACGCCGTCACACAACAGCTGGACCAGCTGTTTGTTTGTGTTCATCATCGCAGCTGTTCAGATTGCAAAATTGGATTAAAATTTCAGATATAAATTGTCAGATGATGTTCCGCTGTCATCCCAAATGATGAAATGTATATGTTTCTTAACCACTGATCAATACCATATAGTTAATTGTTGTTAATGAACCTTAGAATTTGGGAAGAGTGACTTAACTTATTCACATAATCTGAATCACTCGGATTCAGATTCTCCTTACCGAACCACCTGTATTAAAACGCGGTTTAAAGATGTAATTTATGAACTAAGATTAAATAACAACTTCTAGAGATGTAGAAAGTTACTTACCGATTTTTGTATAAACTAATGTGCAGTGGTTTCCTCAGTTTGGATTCCATAAAAAAAATATTTTAAAGTTTTTGGACCGTAAAATATGGTAATCAAGAATAGCCTCGATTCGTGCAGAAAGGTGCCAGATAAAGTTCCAATAATTATCAATATTAAAGACTGCCCCCCCCCCCCAATCCCCCCTTGTTAACTTACAACGGTTTAAGGTTAGGAGTGATCTAGGCCCACGACCACAGACATTAATGAACAAAAAAAAATGTATTAAACTTGAAGAATGAAAAAGGTTCTGATAGTCCTTAAAAAGACAAATATATCATGCTTGTCTTAGGTTTAGGTTCCTGCACATTTTCTAATGGTTTTACATTATTTTCAATTGGTTAGTTACCGAGAATAAACAAATTAACAGTCCTTATTAGTATGTGACTTCAACATTTATGTATTTTCAAATTTTCAATGAATACAACGATGACTTAAAAAAAAACTCAGTAAGTATTCAGGTAATTTGCAACCTCATTATGAATTTCTATATAAAATTATCATAATTCCTTTTCTTTAGATTGTAATAGGCAAGGCTGCAAGGGTAGTTACCAAAGGTGTACTACCATAAGGTTGTTTAGCCATTTCGTAAACAAAGCAATGGATGGGTGGCGCAGGTGAACTCTGATTCATTTAACAATTTTCAACAGATGCAGCTCATCGCAGTGTAGTCTAGGTAGGTAAGAGTCTCAGTGATGCTATAATTAATTGTATGTAAAGGGAAAAGCTCCGGTACATGTTCAGACTTCTTAGAATTGTGACGACATTTCACACACTCGGGACGGTCTATATCTGACCACTGTACAGTTAGCATGTTTTGTATGTGTGTATGGTGTCATATTTACTCTTGTGAAAAATAACATTTGCGAGTACATGTAAGACATTCATTAGTTTGTGTGACATAAACCATAAATGAAAAAAAATGAAGGAAGCGATGCTTAAGCTTGGGTGAACATAAGCATAATGGTGCCACTTTTAGGGTATTAATATCGTTTTGGATGGTCAGGTTAAGTTACTTTAAGATTAGATTAGATTAGTTTGAAATCTAAATACGTACAGGGATGACTAAAACTATAATTTTACCACTTTGAGTACAGTTCTCTGCTGAACTGGTAATGATATGGGTAAATTTGCATTAGTGCACACATATCTCTGTTAGAAAGTCAAAACTATGTTTCTCTAGTTTATTTTTGTGTGTTGATTGGTTTGACCTTGATTTCCGTCGGAAATTGCCTGTTTTTTAGTTATCGGGGGTTTTGGGTGGGGCGTTTTCCGACCAAAATTATGGCCAATCGAATACAAAATATAAATACAAATCACAAATAAAACAGGCATATAAACCTGACCTAACCTAAAATAACCTGACCTGGCCTAACCTAACTCACCATCTAATGGAATCACTTAGAGCTAACTTTATTGCCCAAGTTCTGGTTCGTCGTTCGATTCTGAGATTAGTACAAGTGAAAATGGCACTTTTCAAAAAAATTTTCTTTGTAATCACTGACGGTGTACGAACACCAACGTCTCTTCTTTGTCTTGGGAATAAGGAATGAGTTGCCACATATGTTGGTCTTGACGATATTTACATTCGTTCTTACACTTAGGACACTTTACTGAGGTCGGGAGAACACCATGAAATCTAAGAAATAATATAGCTTGTTAGTTTTGTCCCCAAAATGCACAATCAACTCCATATAATTGAAGTGATACCCATAGCAGACTTCCATGGTCGGAAATGAATTTGAATTTCGAAATATGAGACCCAAATTAAAAATCGAATCTGATTGGGCAAAAAATACCGAAAATTAAACCACAAATCATAAAAAAAAAAAAGCTTTAGATTGGCCGCATGACGTGTATGGGAATTATTCAAAGTAGCTACCATAAAGACATGATTTTCAAATGCAGAACCATACTGCCTTAAATATTTTTTGATTGTGTAAATAAAGTTTAGAATTACTTAAAAGTTATATCCACAGTAAAACATGAATTTTCACTTATTTTTTTTTAAATAATGAGTCGTGAATAAGAGTTGCCTACAAATTTAGTCACATCTATTTTGTTCTGAATGAAGCTTTGGGATTATACCACATAGCATGTTCAGTTTAAGATTGTAGAAAGAATTACTTAAAATTTAAAATTTTTCAGCGAATGCAAGATGTCGTCCCCAAAGGAGAAACCACATGGGGCAGACACGTCTTCACACTTAATGATGGACTCCAACGTGTCTGCTTGTGCAGCTGATAAGAAAAGTCCCCCTGGATCTCGCACTCCAGAGAGACCTCCAAGTGATGGTTCTCCCATTTCAGATGATACTTGCCCCATCTGTCTTGGTCACATCAATAACAAGTGTGTAGCTAATTCATGCCTACATGCCTTTTGTTTAGTATGTCTGAAGGAGTGGTCCAAACAGAAAGCAGTATGTCCACTTTGTAAGCTAAGCTTCACAACAATAATGTATGACATTAAATCTGAAACAGAGTATAGAGAATGGATGGTTCCAAGACCAGATCCACCAGAACGAAGCCAAGGTATTGCTAATTTTCAGGAGTTTCTTGATGCAGAAAGGCGAAGGTTCTTTGGATATCGCACAACCATGTTTCCTGGTGCTGCCACACTTCGCCGTCAGCATCCTGGACGCCCACATGCCATTCCTGATGCCATTCCTTCTGGTCCTCGTGAACGCAGGCCCTCTAGGTATAACCTAAGGGGTTCATCTATGTTTCGTCTTAGTGTTTATCTCAATAATGTATGGGTGCAACCAATAGCAGATATTACTGGTCGTTACAGACAGAGTTCTCCAGAATTGTATCGAGAGCAACCTGCCCTTACACATCGCTTAGTACCCTGGGTAAACCGAGAACTGGCAGCACTTTTACCGTCAACCAGAGTTGGGGCTGTGCTTGCATTAGTAATGGATCTTATTGAGAGACATCCCATCAATTCTCGTGAATTTCTCCGCACAATGCAGACATGTCTTGGAAGTCGGGTAACTCATTTTGTTCATGAATTCTACCACTTTGCCCGCTCACCTTATGACATGGTTGGCCATGACAATGCAGCTCAGTATGTACCAAGGTATGGATTTAATGATGATGATAGTAGCAGTAGCAGTTCAGATGATAGTGATGAAGTGATAGAGGTAGATATCAGGGGAAATCCTATTATTGTTAGGTCTGGTAGAGAGAACCTTCAGGGTCCTGCAATTTCTGGAAATGTCGTAAGAGAAGAAACTCTTACACATGAAGGATCTGTAGTTATCAGTAGTGATAATAACTCCAGCAATGAGACTGATGAACCACAACTGACACTTTTTCAGTCACAGGGAGAAGCATCACAACTGGACTTAACAGAGACCCATAATCCAGAGCCCCCGGGAACACACACTATGAGGCGCTTGCTTGGCCGTGCCAGAGACTTCCTGAGTACCATTAATGAAGGAGCATCAACATCAAGATCTGAGGGAAACTCTGGAACAAAAAATAGCATAAAAAACACTTTAAAAGAAGAAATTCCATCAGATAGTGATGATTCTGATGGTTGCATTGTTGTTGAGGAAGTAAAGAAAAGACAGAAGACACCAGAGATAATAGATATTGATAGTGATGAACAGGAGGAAGAACCTGCACCATCATCAAAAAGGAATGATAATCACTGGAAGAAAAAACTTAGTAAAAATTTTGCTGGACACAAGGGCAGCAGTGGTGTAAGCATTTCCTCAAGGCAACAAAAAAATAAAATAAAAAAGAAACCCACTCTTAAACGAACAAATTTTCCTCTCCCTGTTAGTCAGTCAGGCAGCAGTGGTTCTTCAAAAAAGAAATCGACTAAAGAAGACCACAGTTACTGTAATGAACATGAATATGGAAATACTGAAGCATCCAGTTCAACAAGTTGTTCAAACTCTTTTTCAGGGTCTGTTCAAACTTCTTTTGAAATATCTTTGAAGTGGCATAAAAGTTCAGAGAATCATGACTCTAGTGTAAGTGTGAAGAAGAAAGATCGACAGAGTGGACAGCAGCAGATCGGAATTTCTTCCTCAGAAGATGAATCTAATTTTCTGAGTTCGGAAAATAAGAAACATAAGTACAAAGAAAAGAGTAAAAAGGCTAGTAGTAAAACAAAGCATATGTCCAGAGATAAAATGTGTGCCTATAGTTCCTCTCGGCACAGAACACAATCGCCATCTGGAGAAAGAAACTCATCAGCAAAACGATCAAAGAAGGACCATAGATGCAAGATTAAGAGTTCATCAAGATCGAGTTCACGGCATGATACATATGCAAGACACAGTTATGCTAACAGCCATAGCTCAGAAAGTTCTTATGAATCATGGTGCAACTCTGATCGTCTTTGGACACCACCATCAAGCAGAACAGAGGGAACTTCATCTAGACAGGATCAGCGTTGGGATAGCCAGCAGAGCAGAGAAACATCGTGTGATTCAAAAGATTCATGTTACAGGGAGTGGAGAGGTGAATACAGCTTAAAATCTAGGCACTCCAGTAGAAAACGAAAGAGAAGGAGTAAGGATCGGAGAAGGAGCGATAAAAGCAAAAAGAGCAAGAAAAGTAAGCATAAGAAAAAAGGAAAATCAAAGAAGTCTGCTATTAAGTCAACTTCTTCAGAAGAGACAGAATCTAAAGAACAAATAAGTGGGAAGAGACCAAAGAGAAGAAAAAGCAGATTAATGGATAGCTTCTCGAGATCTGAGGGAGACTCCTCAGAGCTTGAACCTAGGAAAAGAATCAAAAGGACCATGATGATATCTGATACATCGTCTAATTCAAATTCTGTACACTCGTCATCATCATCATCATCAAATGAGGAGTCTTAAAGTGTATCTATTTTCTATGATTTTCTGTTAATGTTTAACATGGTAGAATAGTCCTCTTAGATACATTACTTCTGTCATTTAGATTTCTTCAAACTAGTTACAGTACAGTATCAGTGAATGTATAAATTTCTATGAATACAAGGTTAAAATAACTGTACAGTAATCTTAGTAACCAGATACTGTATTGAAGAACTTTTTATAAATACAGTATAGAAATGAAGACTACAGGTATATAAATTTGTTATGGATTTCTACATACAGTACAGTATATTCTTCCTATGTTACTGGTACTATTAAAATTTTTCATTGTTTATGCTCGACTGTATAGCTTTGATTTTTGTAATAAATTAGTTTGTACTTATAATAGTGAGTACTTGAGTTAGCATATAATTTCCATACAAGTATTTCAACATTTGAGTAATGCCTGGCTATGATGAAGTTAAATGTTTAAATAGATCATGTGATTCCCATAATATTCTTAAGAGATATCTAATATGAAGATAGAAAGTTTTAGAAAGTTTTGATATTCATTTTAGGATAATGTTTTAATATTGTGAATGGAAGCTGGATATGTGCTGTAAACATTGCTAAATATTTTTGTTTTAATATTTTATCATATTAGTGTGTGTTAACCCCTTGTGTATGCAGTCCCCTCAGTGCTGAATAAAATCATCTGGCATTAGCCATATAAAATATTAACAGAGGCATCCCTGTAGTGAAGGGGTTAGTGGAGATAGTCTATTGACCCCCACCCCCTTTTTTTTATGGACTTGTATATACAGGAACTGTACTTTATATTTTAATCGCCTTTTCAGTTACAACCACATACAAATTACCTCCATAATAAATAATCTTACAACATATCCCAAGTTACAGTAGTTCATTCAATATTTTGTAATTCGTACACAGTCTACCAGTGTTAATTAAACCAAACCATCAAATTTCTTTAATATTATCTCCTGTCACAGTGTTGTACACAATCAAATCCTCACAACAGACTTTTAACACTTAGGACATTGTGATGGAACATTTTACACCATCCATCATCATTCTGTACCCATTTTTTATTTATAAAATATTGTACACACTGAGTCAGGTCAGCCCCCCCCCCCCAAATTGTTTCTATTCAAGACATTTTCAGAAAATTCTCCTGATTTTCAACCTCGGAAAATTTGTTCCTGAAGCCAAAATTTTTTGGAAAATTCCGGCTTCAGGAATGATTTTTCAAGCAAATTTCATTTCTGGCTATTGGAGATTTCTGGGTTTGAAGGATTCCGGCTAAAGGAGATGCAGTAATATCTCCGTTAGCCAGAATCCCTCAAATCCAGAGCTATCCGATAGCCAGAATTAAAATTTTCTCGGAAAATCTTTCCCAAAGCCGGAATTTTCCGGAAAATTCTGGCTTTGAGAATGATTTTCCAGGGGGCATTTTCCGGAAATTTTTTAGAAAATTGTCCTGGTACCTGTAAAATTCCAGGGATGACAGATTTTTTTTTTTTGGCTTTGAGAGAGTCGTCTTGTTACCCGGAAATCTCTTATTCCCGGAAGTGCTCTGCACCAATTGTTCCGGCTAACGTAGATATTACTATTTTATATGCAAATGGTAACTGTGTTAGAACTTTCAATTGGTTTTTATTTACTGGTTTGGCAATACAGTACAGTATATTTTGTTGTAACTTATTTATTGGTATTATTTTTATTTATTCCTCACATTTACTGGTACTGTATACAGTATATTATTTTAAGAAAACTATGGCTATAGGAAGAAAATCCACACAAGAGTTTTTTCCTTAATACTCCCTGCTAAAATAGGGGATGCATCTTACTGTATATATGGCCATGCGTCATATATGCTGTAAAATATGGTATATTATACAGTACTGTACAATACATATATAAGTTGAGCATTATTGTTGGCTTTGCTTGTTAAGAGTTTAAAGATGCCCAGCTGCTAGCAAGTTTATTAGAAGGAACTCCTGTGTATGGCAGTGTTGTTACACTGCAGAGGCTTACTCCTGTACTTTATATATATATATATATATATATATCCCTGCTAAAATGATGCATCTTACTGTAGCTGCCATGCGTCATATATGCTGTAAAATATGGTATATTATACAGTACTGTACAATACATATATAAGTTGAGCAGTTGGCTTTGCTTGCTGAGTTTAAATGCCGCGCATTAAACTAGTCACTTTACCTTCAATTTCGTTCAATAATTGTTAAAATGACTAAAAAATTGAATATTAAACTTTTAAAATTATTGAATAGTATAAACTTCTTGATATTTACAAAAATAGTAAGGAATTTAAGCCCTAGAACCGATTAATGTATTGGCGGACTGATACTAAAGCTGGTTGCCCGGTCAGTGCAAGCGAAAACATGTTGAGGTCGGTTCGTAAGAAGTTCGTTAGCGAATTTTTTTCGTTAACGAATTGAAGATCCTTATGGAAGGCAGTTCGTTAATCGAAATTACGTTAACCGAGGTGTTCGTTGTATATATATATATATATATATATATATATATATATATATATATATATATATATATATATATATATATATATATATATATATATAATTTTTTTTTTTTTTTAGGCAATTTATTTTAGCTGATGAATAGTAATTAATTTCTCAAGAGAACAAGAATCTGTTTTAAGGGGCTATACTGTACATCAATATAATTAAACTGACTTAAGAAACATGTTTGCTTTTATTAGTAATCCTAACATCAAGAATTAAATTTATTATGCTTTCTCTATTAATATTAGAGGTGGTTCAATATTAACAAAGCTTTTGAGAACCAATACAGCTACAGTACAGTACTTATATTTTGTTCTATACTGTACAGTATATGGTGTATCATGATAAAGTACTTGCTGGATTTCTGTACAGTAATTTATTTTGTAAGATATTATTATAAAAATAATTAATATAGTATGTGTTCATAACACTCCCTCATGTATAACATGTAAGTCAATGGGTTGGTCGGTCCTATTATTTCATCCTTTCATTGTTAGTTGTAGTCATCAGAAATGCATCCCTGACGGATAATGAGGACTCCCTGTACAACACATCATCTTTAAGAGTAGTTAAATCTCTAAATATTTAGATCTTTCATTGATTCTCATATACATGTAGTTTTCTGGTATATACTGTAACAGTTCTGAAATATGGTTAACATGGCAACAGCGTGTGTCTGTGTGTACATGGTCGACAAATTATTTAACAGCAATGCTCTCTCTCAGTGAACCAAGAGAATCATTGAGTTGCCAGTCCCAAGCAGTCACTAAGTTTACCCATTGATGGTGCAGGACGATGTAGGGAGATAGGTCTCTGGGAGTGAGGGGGAGCTTGGCAAGTGAGTGGGATGGCAGTGCAGTGGGGTTAAGTTGGTAACCCCAGCAATGTTTAAGTTGCCAGCTATTTCTTGATATTCATTAAGATGCAAAACATGTTATAACATTAATAATACAAAACCCATGTTATATTTGTTGCTTTGGAGGTAAAGTCAACTGATTATACTCTTCAAATTTCACCAAGTTTAGGATACCCCATCCTTCATTAACAGGCAACATGCAGCCTGCTACATCACTCTCACTCAACTCATCAGCCTATCAGTAGACACACATTGTCAGTATGGGCTAAAGAGGAATCCATTTACTTTGACATTACAGTAATACAATGTCCAACTATAAGTGCAATACAATACATACACAAGTCACATTATGGATGAGATCAACTAATAAACATTAAAATGATTTGCAGAATTTACATTTAAGTAACAGTAATGAGGTAGCACCCATTCTCACATTCATATTTTCATAAAAGGTGATCGTGTGTTCTGTGGTGGATCGCAGAGACAGGGAGTGACAGAAGGGGAAGTCGACACCTCCATAACCAAGCAGTTGTGTTCAATTGTCGTTCTACTGGTTATGTCAATGATTAAGCTTAACCTATTATATTCATGAATATTGCTGATGAACATGAACTTCACCTGAAAACAAATACTGTAACATCCTCTCTGTGAAATGCTCATGATACATTATGGAGCACTAGAAACTGCAGAAGGACTTGGGGCTTGGCAGCCCTAAGGCCCTGACACAGTCATGGCCCATTTGTTTTAATTTGCTATGTTAACCCTTAGGCCCAGGTGACGTTAAAGAACGTCTGACCAGCGCTCCACAGGTGACGTTCCAGAACGTCCGCCTATTCCCACCAATTTTTTATTTTATTTTTTAATTATTTTTGGAAAAGTCGATTTTTTCTTGATTCATCTCTGCCGGGATGGGGGAGGGGGGGTGGTTACTGCCAGCAGCACCCTAACCTGGGGCTTAAGGGTTAATAAGAATTCTATTTACAGTTGTAATATGGTTATTTTAGTATGAGGTAACAAAATGTAAAGAATACTGTATGTGTGGGTAAGTGTGGATTATGTGTGGTGTGTGTGTGAAAAGGTGTGTCGTGGGTGTGTCACATGGTACAGTGGTCCCTTGATTAACGAACACAATTGGTTCCACAGTGTCGTTCGTTAACCGAATCTATTATTTCAATGGGATATTGGGTAATTGGTTCCAACTCACAGAAAAAGTATACATACTGGTAATAGAATTAACAAAACATTAACTATAAACTAAATACAGTACTGTACTGTACAGTATACTGTACAAAAATAAAAACAAAATAGAATACTGTATTTCAACTTACTTTGAGGTGTGTGTCATATTCAAGACAGCTTTGTTTACATATCAAACAGCTGATTGTAGAGGCAGTCGATGATGACATGCCATATTCTTTGCAGAGTGCATTGGTTCTAATGCCTTCATTGTGTTTCATTATAATTTCTGCACTGTATATTATCAATATGTAAACTAAATTTCAGAATGACCAATAATTTTAATGTAAAAATGCAAAAATATTCAAGAGACCAAACTCCATGTTCACCCCATTGTAAACAAAGTTAAACTGAGAAGCGTTGGTGGGTGATTCAATCAGCTGATGGGCGCCCAAAAACTGTTCCCTGTACTGTATATATTATGAATATGTTAACTAAATTTTAGAATGACTAATAATTTTATTATAAAAAATGCAAAAATATTAAAGAGCACAACCTTCTTGATATTTACTCCACTGAAGCGAATGTAAACATAGAACCGATTACTGTATTGGCGGACTAGCCGATCAGCTGATGCGCACAACGAAACATGTTTCTCGTAAGACTTTCGGAAATCGAAGTTTTGTTCGTTAATCGAACTGAAAATCCTTATGGGAGCTAATTCGTTAACCGAAATTTCGTTAATCGAACCGTTCATTAATAGTGGGACCACTGTATACGTAAAGCATTCACTGTACAGTTAACCCTCACTTTACGCGGTTAATGTAACCGATCCCCAAACTCCACTTTTTGACGACACACAACTATGTTGTAGTAAAAATTTTATCTTAACTTTATGATGGTATGAAAAAACAAGTAATATAGAAGAGGTTAGGTTAGGAAAGATAAAGGTTAACATAGGAAAAATAAAGGTAAGGTTAGAAAACTAAAAATTAGGTGTAACACTTACGGTAGTAGAAGAGATGGGTCGGCATACGGGGATGGAGGCTGGTTCCGAGGCAGAGGGCAGATTACTGGCCCTCAGGTGAATCACCATCACTGTCACTTACAGTTGTCAGGGCTTCCCTGACAAATCCCTCAAAGTCACCTTCACTGTCATTATCACTGGCTTGGGCTGGCTGTGGTGGGTTGCGGGCGAAGAAATCTGTTATGCTTTGCTGACGGCTGGCATTGATGTTGTCGTGATACACCTTGATGTACGGCTCCATAGCCTGCACCAGCCGGGTATGGAAGACTTCATAGCGGTCATCGTCATTGTCGCGGGAAAGGAAGGACTTCATCTTCTCTGCACACTCCATGGCACCCTTAATATCACTATGACTTAAATTGTGTTCTTCGGAGACTGACGCACCTTCTTCCTCCTCTTCACTGACGTGTTCTTCTTCCAACATCTCGTCGGCAGTCACTTCAGGATCTCTGATCACCTCCAGGATGTCGTCGTTGGTGGTCTCGGAGAAGCCTGGAACTGTAACAGTCTGCGCAGCTTCTCTGGCATGGTCCACTGCTACTGCAACATTCTGAACCTCACCAGTCACAGATTGACTCCTCCTCTCACCTGGTATTCCATGCAACACATGTCTCCATGCGTGACGAATTGTAGCAATAGACAGCTGATCCCATGACTCCACCAAGAAGTCCACAGCTTTCTTGATGTTAAATACTCTCCAGAATTGTTTGAAGAGTATTTTTTGCTGTTCTAACTGTTGATCCTCATCTTCTTCGCTCTTGCTATCGGTGGTGGTGTCATTCAGGTTACGCAACTCTTCCCTGGTGTTGGTGTAGTCGTTCAGGAGCTGGAATTTTGTTGTTGAGAATGCAGCTTTCACATTGCAAATCAACTCCTGGTCCATGGGCTGGATTAAAGATGTAGTGTTGGGAGGAAGGAAGACCACTTTTACGTTGGGGTGACGATCTAACAGTAGGGGCGAGTGTCCTGGTGCGTTGTCCAGCAGCAACAAAATATTAAATGGGACATTCTGTCGCTCACAGAATTTCTTTACATCGGGAACAAAACAGTCATCAAACCAGGAGAGGGACAGTGTAGAGAACATCCATGCCTTACGTGCTGTCAGCCAGTGGACATTTAGCTTGGTCATGTCCATGCTCTTGTAGGCGTGCGGCTTGCGGGCTGTGTGGATCACCGATAACTTGAGCTTACAGGTACCGGAGGCATTGGTGGTAAACAGGACGGTGATGCGTTCCTTCTGCATTTTCCGGCCCCGAATCCTGCTGGCATTCTTCACAACGAAGGACTTGGAAGGTAGCTTTTTCCAGAAAAGACCAGATTCGTCCATGTTAAACACCTGGTCGTCACTGTACTGTCCTTCCTCCATAATCTCACGTAAAAACGGAGGAAATTCCCGAGCCGCAGCACGATCAGCACTCGCTTCTTCACCACCAATGTTTATATTGGTGATCTTGTTC